ACAACCCTGATGCACACCTTTCCTAATTTTCAAACATTCAGTATCCCCTTGTTCTAATTTAACAACTGTCTCTTGGTCTATGTACAGATTCCACATGAACATAATTAACTGTTCTGGAATTCCTATTCTAAGCATTGTTATCCATAGTTTGTTATGATCCACACAGTCAAATAAAACACAAGTAGATGACTTTCTGATATTCTCTGCTTTTAGCCAAGATGTATCTGATGTCAGTAATGATATCCTGGTTCCATGTCCTCTTTTGGATGCAGTTCAAACTGGCCTTGTGGTCCAGTGCATTAACTCATTAACTCACAGGACTCCTATGCATGTTAGGTATGAATAAATGATAGTCAGGTCTTTTTTATAAATAAAAATGTCTTTTTATGGAATGTATAACTTATGCAGCACTTTTGCAAGTGTGCCCCGTGTGGCTTTTGTAGGATAAGCACTGGACTGGAAGGTCAGTTTAAACCACAAAGTTGGCAATTCGAGCCCACCAATAGTTCCTCTGAAAACCTATACAGGGTCATTTTGAGTCGGAGCTGACTTGATGGCACTTAGCAATAGCAACAACACTGTCTTATGAGCTTAGAGATAAGTCAACTGAGTGGAAGATAGTATAGCTGGTAGTTGTGACGTGCTGTCCAGTTGGTCTTCACTCCACAACCAAAAGGCCTTCTTCCTTCCTGGGCCCTAGACAGAGTGAAGGCAGGAGCCTGTGGCTGTGAGCTGAACAAAGCCAACAGGGAGTAAGCTGCTGAGGGCAGGGTCCTTGACCTCTCAGCTGGTCTTTCCTACATTGTTGTTTGGTATGTGCCCTTCAGTCGACTCTGACTCGTGGAGACCTCATATGACAGAGTACAACGGTTCCATAGGATTTTCTTGGCTGCAATTTTTTGCAGAAGCAGATCACCAGGTCTTTCTTCCGTGGAGCTGCTGGGTGGGTTCAAGTTTCCAACCTTTCAGTTAGCAGCCATTGCATCACCAGGACTCCTTTAGTAAGCAGTTATTGAGTTGCCAAACTGCATTCAAAAGTGCTCAGCCAGGGGCGGGAAAATCTCTGTGAACGTGACAGACATGGCGTACAGGGTCCTTAGAATGTGCCTGGGGTAAAACTACTGAAGCTGTCAATGTAATTACACTACCTGCTGCTGTAACCTGGGGAATATAGCCTATTCCATTTCTTTGCCAGACATGAGTGTTTGGGTGAGTGGAGGGTGTTCAGAGAAAGCTTGCTGCAGGAAGTCATATCAAAGTTGACATGTGAAAAATGACTAAGTGTCTGTTCAGTAGAGGTTTGGGAAGTTTTCTGGAGAAAACACATTCAGGCTCCAAATCGAGAGCAGCTCCCTCCTGCCTAGAATAGGGGTGAGGGGGAGCAGGGAGTGGGAGAAATGAGACACAGGATACACATGTAGGGGACAGATCCGGGAGATGTTTATAAGTTGAAGCAAGGGATTTGCACAATATTCTGAGGGCAGTGGGGGTACCTTGATGTACAATGGAGTGAGACGATTCATTTTTCCTTCAGAGACCAGTTGGAAGTAAGCAAGAGGACCTGGACAGTCAGTTCAGAGACCTTGTAAGAGAAGAGGCATGAGATGGTGATCAGGGGGATCAAGAAAGTGACTGGGGATGAAGGGAAGAGAAACACTCAGGAAGACGAATCTCTGGGGCTTTGTGAAGGTGTGGTGGGAAGGAGAAGTAGGAGCCTAGGATCGCACCCAGACTTTTGGTTTGAACCAGGAGTTGGTTTCCCTGAGATCTGCCGCACCAGAGGATTAGCAGGTTTTAGCAACGCAATCATGAGGTCACCTTTGTAGAAGGTGAGCTCTAGGCACGAGTGAAGCATATATGTGGGGTTGTCTAGGAGAATAGAATTCAGAGATTTGGAGTTTAGGAGGAGAAGTTTGGACTAGAAATAAGAAGTTGAAATGACTGATGCAAAGATGGAGTCCTGGTGTGGGCGCTGTGGGTTAATGAGCTGAATTACAAAGTCAGTTTGAACCACAAGGTCAGTTGTTCAAGCTCACCACTCACTCCATGGAAACCCTATACAGTGTCACAGTGGGTTAGAACCGACTCCGCAGCACTTAACAGCACCAATAACACCATAAACATGCAATTAAATCATGAGAGTGAGCTAAATCATCCAGAGTTATTGAGTGAGAAGCAAGGATCAAGGAGACAGAACCTTGAGGAACCTCTTACCTGAGAGGTAGGCTTGTCAAGGGAGAACACACAAGGGACTTCAAGTTGGAGCACATGAGAGGTAGCAGAAGGATCCAAAAGGTGCAAGGGTTTTAGGAAAGGGGAAGGGGTAAGTTGTATCTAATGCATCCTAGAAGTCAAGTAATATAAAGACTTAATGGAATTCACTGGCTTTGCAACAAGGTTGTTAGAGATATGGGTGAGCATCGTTTCACAGAAAGGATGGGGCTAAAGGCAGAATGCATGGGAATGAGACAAGAAAAGTAGAAACTGAAAGTAGACAAAAAAGATCACTTAAGTATGAATCTTGGTTCCTAAATGGAAAGACATGTAGACAGAAAGGTAGACAGACAGATGATAGATAGATGGATAGATAGATAGATAGATAGATAGATAGATAGATAGATAGATAGATAGGACAGCTATAAAGTCATGTGTGGTTAAGATGGAGTCACCTTAAATATGTTTCTAAGAAGATGGAAGGTGCCAATAGAGAGGGTGGGAGAAGGGATAATGACTGGAGTAGAATTTGAGGAGCTCAGAGGAGGAGAGGTCTGACTTCTATGGAGTCAAGAGAGAGGGAGGGGAGTTTATATCAGATAAGTCTACCATTTAAGGATTGTTGTTGTTGTTGATAAGTACCGTGGAGTTGTGTTCCGACTCATAGTGACCCTGTACAGGGTTTCCGAGGCTGTAAATCTTTACTGGAGCAGAAAGCCTCATCTTTCTCCTGTGGAACCGCTGGTAGTTTTGAACTACTGACCTTGAGGTTGGCAGCCCGACTCGTAACCACTATGCTACCAGAGCTCCTTTAAGGAAGTGTCCTTCTATGGTTTCTATTTCTCTTTAAAGGAGAAAGCAAAGCTCTTACGACCAGGGACCCAAATCAACTTCTGGGCTTAACTGAAACTGGCTACCGACAGTGGATTTACAGTACAGAGTGAGTCTCTTTGACTGGGGGCTGGCAGTTTTGGGCAGGCCAGGGAAGCCTGGCCGTGGGTTTGCCAGGAGGTGGCACTGGAGGACAGAGTGGTTACCACAGAAACCACCCTGGAGCAGGCACTTGACAAAGGCTTACTCCATGAATGAATGGTGAGAAGAAGAAAGAGCATCCAGTGAAGGGGACTTGGAGGGCCCGGGGAAATCCTCATTTTGCCCTCCCTGACTGCAAAACCATTGGCATGCCCCTTCATCTCTCTGCACTTTTGCGTCTTCATCTTTAAAGTCGAATGCACACCTACATTTCAAGGTTGTAGTGGGAATTAAGTGGATATTGTATGTGAATGTACTTTGTAAATTAACTGTACTGAGACCCCTGGCGTAAGAGAATGTAGGTAGCTGGCTATAGTAGGTGCTTGGTAAACAGTAGCTACTGTTACTGACCATTACTTGTATGGATAAGAAATGGATAGAGGCTACAGATCTTTGGTATCAAGGCCATAAACAATGCAGTGAGCACCTGGGTTGGCTGTGGACTGTGGCCAATGAGACCAGCCAGAGCTTCAGTGAAGGTTGGCTGTGGTGTGACCTGGTTGTGTCTGCTTCTGCCACGGATTGAATAGTTATGTTGAACAAAAGATATGTTGAAGTCCTAATCCCTGCACCTGTGAATATGGCCTGGTAGTCCTAATCCCTGTACCTGTGAATGTGGCCTTGTTTCAAAATAAGGCCTTGGAAGACACTATCCATTAAGTTAATGTGAGGTCATGCTGGAGTAGAACCATTGCCATTGAGTTGATTCTGACTCATAAAAATCCTGTAGGACAGCATAAACTGCCACCATAGGGGTTTCAAGGCTGCCATCTTTACAGAAGCTGACTGTCACATTTTCTCTCATGGAGCAACTGACAGGTTCAAATCACCAACCTTTTGGTTAGCAGCCAAACACTTAACCACTGTGCCACCAAGGCTCTTTATACTGAAGGTGGGTGGATCCTAATTCTCTATGACTGGTGTCCTTATAAGAGATGAAAAGATACACAGGGGCAGGGAGACAAAGGAAGGGCAGCCTGTGACCCTGTAGCTGCAAGTCAAGGGACATCTAGAGGTCCCAGAAGCTAGGAGAGGGGTGTGGGACAGATTCCCCCTCAAAGCCGTAGAAGAAACTAACATGGCCAACACTGTGGTCCCAGACTCCCAGCTTCAGAACTGTGAGGCAATACATTTCTTACAGGCTACTCTGTTTATGTGGTATTATACTATGGGAACCCTAGAAAATCAATAGGCAAATCCTGGGGATCCTTAGCCCCAGCCAGTGGAACTGGCCATGGACTTATAGGAGAACCCACACTCTCCGCATCAAGCCCTTCTCTGCCTGCCACAGAATAAGAATCCAGATGACCCCTCTGTCCTTCTCCTTGGCTCAGCTCCCGAGACCATGAGCAGGATTCCTGCAGAAGGAAATGTGGGAGGTAGGGAGAGCCGGTGGGCCCAAGAAAGGAGACACATAGATACCAGGTGCTAGTGTCAAAGGCCTGGAGAGTTTAATGTCCTGCTGGTAGGAGTCACCTATGCCAGACAGACATAGGCACTGACCAGACCTTTCAGAATGACCAGGGAAGCTCCATCTAGTCATGCCTTTTGCTGGTGAGAGAAAGGGCCCATCAGTCTACTTCCTCCGGATTTCATGGAGGTGGTTCCTGACCACCTTTCTGTCCTTCCATCTAGCTGCCGAGAGGAAGGGAAGCTGCCATGGAGGGATAACCCTTCTCTGTTCCAGTCCCTGTCCCACCCTGCTCCCCATTGGTCATGCTAGCTCTAAGCCCACATGGATGCTCTGCTGGTCTTTACAGCTTGGGAGGAATAAAAGTCTCCTGGGATCCCTGATGCTGGTCCAGGCTGCCCAGGGCACAGGCCAAGCCCTCTGGAAACTCTCGACCTTTTAGTAGCTCTGTTGCTGCCACCTCTACTTCCTCTGGTTCCATCTGGCAGGCATCTGCCAGGGCTTGACCTGTTGCCATGACGAAGCCAGCATCATCTGCCAAGGTGTCCAGGCCCCCTCGAACCAGAGCCTGTAGGGAGGAGAGGAGGTTGGATGGAGTCTTCCTGGGGAGCTGCCTTTGAGGTCTGCCTCACTGCCCCTGCCCTCTCTGGCCCCCAGGCCATAACGAAGCCACCCCTCAATGCAGTCCACTGCTCTGTCCCAGCCCCACCTCACCTCTTGGATCAGCACGGCAGTAGCTGGAGTGGGGTGCCCGGAAGTACTCTTCTCGGTCATACCCCTGTGGGGTATTTCCTCTGGCTGAGATCCCAGAGTGGAACTCTCCCTCTCCTCAGGCATGGGACACTTTACTTTGGGGCTCTGTTCCCAATGTACAAAAGCAAAGACCTCAACAGAAATACTGGAGCTCCCTGAGATCCAGTACACAACACACAACACTTCTACTTCCCACCAATCAGAAAGAATCTCAGCCAAGATCCACAGAAAAGGGAGGGTCCAAGAATCCAGTCCCTTCTGCTATCCATGGTCATGTTGGTGCCATTCCTTCCCCTGCCATAGCCCTGCTCCGAGGATCAGGCCAGGTGGGGTCTCTTTCCTTCTTACCTGGCAGGGGACAGGAAGGGCCTGGCCTCTGGGCATTACCCGGTGGGTCATCTGTCCCTTTAGCTTCTCTGCAGAGGACTTGCTGTGGGGTCCTGTGGGGGAGATGGGACAAGGAGGAGAGTTGCTGTTGACTGTTCCCAGGAGCACTGAGTCAACAGAGTCCATCTGGGCTGTCCAGCCAGACTTTGCCAGCTCACCAAGATTATGGGGCTCTGGAAGGCAGGAATATCCCTTACCCTCCCACCTCCAGACTAGTTGCCTTTTTTATGTTTGGGAGGGGAGACCAGGGTCACAGTCTAGTCAAACCATTTTCCAGTGTGCCCATGTATGTGTGCACACAGGTGTGTGTGTGTGCAGGGAAGCAGGGGGAGCCCCTATCACCACTGAATTCCAGGATCCTTAGGCTCCTACACAGTGATCTAGGACTTCCTAGGAGATTGCCAGATTATCTCATGAAGGGATACAGGGCCAAGATGTCAGTGGGTTTTGGGGATGCCCTTCCAAGGACCTTTTGGAGCCCAGGATGCTGACCCAGAGAGACTCCAGAGCTGGGGCCTGGGTTGGGTGTTTCCAGACAGGCCTGTGGAGGGCGCTGTTGCACAGGCTTTTCTCTCCCATCTCACTCAGCCACCTAGATGGCATCTTTCTCCTCTGACTGGATGATCAGTTGGTCTGGACAGCACTCTCATTCCAGAGTCCAGGTGGTTTCCATTGCAGCAGGCTCCTGAGCCAGTTTCCCAGGTAGTAAGGAAGTACTCGTAGGGCTCCTCAGACCTCACTGAAAGAAGGCTCAGCTTCTTGGGTGCATAGCAGGTACTGACCTGGGGCCTGGTGGGGTTGATCAAAGGCTCCTCCTCTGGCTGCAGGCATCTCTCTTTCTCCAGGGAACTCCCTTTCATAGTGGACACTGAAATGGATGCAATGAGGACTGCTGATTCTTCCACCATCCCTGCCCCTCTGCAGCCCCAGATGTCTTCTTCCTCCAGGTTCTGCAGCACCATAGCAAGGCCACACTCTCCACCCCAGCCAGCCTTGGTGCTTTTGCCTCCGCTACACTGCTCTAGTGTCCTTTGAGATCCCACTGCTGTGGGTGGTGCCCACCCTTCATCTGCCTCTTGTCCAAGTCTGCATCCAGGTCCAGCCTCACATGCATCAGGACAGTGGCTCTGGTTCTTCACTGGGGAACATTAGAGACTTGTGATGGCCGTGTCCTACCCGTAGCATCTGTGGTGATTTTTGAAAACTCCTTAGATGTTTCTAATGTGCAGCCAAGGATGAGAACCATTACTTAGTGTATTCTAGTCTTCTCCAGCCCATAGTGATCAATGACCCTTCTGTACTTTCAGTACATTCTTTGATCACTGGCCACATCCCCCAAGAACACTACAGCTCCCTTTGGGACAAGGCCCAGGTATGATGCTTCTATATCTCCAGGGCATCTTGCACCATGGTGACTCAAGACTGCATGGTCTTATCAAGGCTTGGTGACTGAATTCAAGGGCTTTCTTTGACTGGAAAGGGGTTCAGGCAGCCTTGGACATGGGAAGTACCTGACTTATGTCCTGCCTGCCCCTAACTGAGGATTGGGAACTCAGCCCTTCCAGGACAAAGTGACCTACAATCACCTGGCCCCCAGGACCAGAGCAGACATTCTTCTTGGAACCAGCCCATAGGCTATGGTCACTGAGAAGTTCCCTCCCTCCTCCTGATTTTTCATGACACGGGCATAGTCACAGTAGAGACAGGGATCGTTTCAGAGTTGGTGAGAGGGGAACGACCCAGAGCAGTGGGATCTCACTGGAACCAAATCCAGCAACTAAACCTTATTGTCCACAATTTTCTATAGTACGGATTGCTGATGAAGCCCCCCCTCTTTCTAATCTATAATCTGTTCAATGTATCTCAGATCCTGGACCTGCTGTTGGTTGTTAGCATAAAAGAACCACCCAACATTGAGGCCAATGGTGACATGAGGCTGCCGCCTGCTGGCCTAAGCAGTCTCTACAGCCCAGGCCAGCTTCTTGGCATTAGGTGGACAAAGGGTTCCCAAAGGACACCAAGACAAGCAACAGTCTACTCTACACATTTCATGGACATCCCCTTTCAAGCCAGCTTGGAGGGTTGCTAACCTTATTCTCCCAATCCTATCCCAGTATCCCTAGACCTCAGTACCTGGAAAATGCCTGGGTGTTGTTATGGTTGTTGTTGACAGTGTTGGCGTTGGCATTGTTGGTATTGGCACGAGCAAGAGGGTTGGTGCTTGGGTCTTGAGGGAAGTCCTCTAAGAAGACAGGTGATTCCAGTTCCTCCATCTCTATCTCAGCAAACTGGAGGGGTCTCTGGTTGGCCATGACGGGGGGCAGGGAGTTGGTCCTTTCCAGGAAGTTGTCTACCTGACCAAACAGGCCTCCAGTCCTCTAGAGGTAAAGAGGGAGATGGAATAACTGATGTCAGGAACTGGAGGATGAAGGGCTGATGCTGTTGGGAACAAGTGACGATAGTTGCTATTATGGTGAAGTGTCCTTGAATTGGTTCCAACTCATAGCAAACCTGTATACGGTTTCTGAGGCTGTACATCTTTGTAAGAGCAGAAAGTCTAATCTTTCTCCCATGGTGTGGCTAGGGGGCTCAAACCACTAACCTTGTGGTTCAAATCCATTGCTTATCATACAGAGAACCACCTTACTCCCCTAAGTGATGATTTGTTAAGTACTGCCGAGTCAATTCCGATTCATAGAGACCTTGTATCAGGTTTCCAAGGAACAGATGTTGAATTTGAACCACCAACGTTGGGGTTCAAACCTACTTTACAGTCCAGTGAATTAACCCACAGTGCCTTACCAGGACTCCCAAGTGATGATACTGGGAGAGGAATCCTTTAAGGTGAGAGAAAAATCAACTGAGCAGTGAGTGCAGAAGAAGAGACAGTCGCCACTATTAGGGAGCTAGATAGGACATAGTTGAGGAACTGTATAGAAGACACAGACATGCAGATACAGAAATATGGTATAGAGATGCTAGTAACCATGGAGAGAATACTAAATGGGGACACTGGAAAACTGGGTTCTAGTTTCACCTCTGCAACAAATTATGGGACCTCTCACAGCATCTGTGTGAGCCAATTGTTTCCTCAGGAATAACCAGAACATTTTAACTAGGTGGTCATTGTAGTCCTCCTAGTTCACAGCTGAGGTAACATGGAATGTTGGAGGTTGGGAGAGGGAAGAACAGGGTTTAGTAGAAGACTGGAAAGTGTGTTGATTCCATATAACACCTTGAGTAGGTCAGGTCATTGATTTTGAGTCCCGAGAGAAGTGGTAATGAGGTGGAGCGGGGTCTCTTCACTTCCCACATTACCCTCCTGCACTGCTGGACTCCTGACCCTCCTTCTCTCCTGGACTTTTCTGCTTGCTCTGACTAGACCACTAGGGGTGGTCACAATCCCCACTGACCCGGAATATCCCCTCCTCCATCGCCGCCTCCACCATGGCTCTCTCTAGCTCCTCCTCAGCAGTCAGGTCTCCTGAAATAGTGCGGTGGATCTCAGGGGCTGCCTCTTCCTCAATGGTCCGCAGTCCAGCCTGGGAATGGAGAAGAAACTCAGCAAGCCCTCCAGTCCAGGAGAAGAGCACAGAGCTGCTTCCCACTGCCCCACTCTCCTTTGTAATCCCTGCAACCAACTGGGGCCTTCCTGAAGCCCCAGCTCTGGTTCCTACCCTCCCTCCTGGCTCATTTACAATCCCAGGGCTCTATGAAGCCACCAGATCGTGCTCTGGCCTCTGGTATATCTGGTCCTTGCAATCATTATTTTCAGAGTCTTTTTACAACTTCATTGGTGAGATTTTATGCTCTCCCCATGTCACCTTGTTGAGAAGTCTTTATACTCATTTCAGTCTTCTAGTCACGTCACCTCTTTTGATTGCACATTTTTTTATCTGACCAATGAGGAAGGGGACAATTCAAATTGATGCCAACTTGATATATTTTTAAAAAAATGAGAACACAGCATCGTTTCTGTAGCTTTCCTGTCCAAGAAGCATATCCTAAATTCAGCATGAGGAAATATTAGAAATTAACTTAAATTGGAAGACAAAGTTCTAAGGTCATGGAAGTCAATGAAAGACCAAGAAACTGACCCAGATGGAAGAAGACGCGACAACTAAATGCAAAGTGTGTTTCTGCACTGGATTCTTTTCCTATAAAAGAGATTCTTGAGGCCACTGATGAAACTTGAATGGGGCCTGAGGGCTAGATGTAGTCATGTGTCTCTGCCAATTTCCTGATATTGATGGTTATATTGTGCTGATCTAGGAGAATGCCCTTGTTGATAGGGAATATACATTGAAGTGTTCTGTATAGATGAAATAGCATGTTGAGAATTATTCCCAAATGGTTCAGGAGAAAAAAAGTTTTTGTACTATAATTGAAAAGATTTTAAAGTGTGAGATTGTTGGAAAATAAAGCAATTGAAAAGGTGCTTGAGCACACAGCCTAAATACATGTATATTTAATGAATTTACCAACTGTGCATTACAATTGGCATAAAAATAGATAAGAAAACATGAGATAAAGCATCAAGCTTTAGTTTTCTTTTCACACCCACTGGATCATCTTTAGCACTCCCTGAGGGATCTCCCTTAAGAGTTGTTGTTAAGTGCTGTTGAGTTAGTTCCAATTCATAACAACCCTATCTAGGGCTTCTAAGATGGTTGGTAGGTTTGAAATGTCGACCTTACAGTCTAGTGCTTATCCTAAAGTGTCACATCCAGGCTCTCTCTATAGAGACCACTGTTCTTATGCAATTCAAGTCCCTTAAAAAAATCCCATTTTCTTTGGTCCTGTCATCCCTAGTTGAAGAGCTTCTGGTTGGTACTTCCATCCAGAACCATCCAGAACTGGTATCTTGTTTCCTTACTCCTACGTGACATGGTCTTCCCTCTGTGCTTCCATCATTGACACCTCAAGGGCAAGGAGAGGAACCTGAAGTCTGGCAATGTGGGGAGTCCTTTAGGGTTTAGGTGTTGGGTTTACCTGGATCTGTACTGCATCCTTCTTGGGCCGATACCCATAATATTCCTCCTGGCGCTTCATAAACTTCCGGAAGTGCTCTTGGATAAGAAAGGTGGCATAGAACTTTCCCACGGTCACCTCATCATCTGCAGAGGAGCCAACAAGGAATATGCTGAAGGCTCTTGGGAATCTGGCACTGGATGCAGAGTGGAAGCCATGGTACAGATAAGGACCCATCCCTGTCTCTTGCTCATTTGACCAATGGGTAGTTTCCACTCTGACATTGTTAGTTGCCCTGATTGATGCCCACAGGGTTTATCCAAGTTATTTATAGATAGCCTGGGCCATTCTCCAGCTCAGAGCCCTTTTCAATCTCCAGGCCATTCTCAGATTCCCATTGAGCTTCTTGGAGGAGCACCTTGCTACCTTTCCTCAGCTGCTTCTGGACTCTGGTCTCCCAAAGGTGCACCCACCTCCTATTGGAGGAATGACCTGATCCAGTAGCTTCATGCTGGTTCTCTTCCAGATCTTCTTGATGATGGCCCTCAGCTCCTCATTGGCCTGCTCAAAGTTACCTGGGGGCAAGGGAAGAGCAGGAATCACCGCAAAGTCATCCAGGCCAAGCCAAATACATTTTGGGAAGGCCACTACACTCTGAATCTCTCAGAGAGCCATTCATTCATACAACAAATATTGACCAAGGGTTTCTTTTGTGTCGGGCACTGAGCTGGGCACTGGCACTGAGGTGGGGGAGAGGTAGCTCAACCATGTTCTTATTTCCAACATTTTGGAAATACGAGTTTGGACTGCCAGTGCCTGCCTTTGAAGGCCAACATCTCCTGCTCTCCCCACCCCAACCCAACAAGCCTTCAATTTCCAACTCCCTGTGGCCATCCCCAGTACCCCAAGGCAGACTGCTCTGACTTGGCTTCTTCCTGCTTTTGGCCTCCCTCTCCATGTCCTCCCAAGGTCAACTTTCCTGTTGCTGTTGCAGAAGCTTGAGTGGTCCTGATGTGGGAATGGCACTGATGCAGGTGGAGTGAGTGAGGGCTCCAGGCCAACACTGAGATACCACCCTAACTCCTTCTTCCTGCCTCCACTGTGTCTGTCTCCCTGGCAGGCAGGGACTTGCAGGTTTAGTGGAGCTGAGCACAAACTCCCATCAACCTACCTGAGTACATTCTCTGCTTCTGCAAAGTCTAATTTCAGAAACTCCCTGCCACATTTCTGTGCTAATATTGTCACTTCTCTGGCCCACTTCAAACACAGCTGATAAGTGTGGGGACAAATTCCTGGTGGCCTTTGCCCTGTGGGATATTCGCAAGTTCCCTCCGAACCCTAGATAGCAGAGGGTTTGGGGGCCATGACTCTTGATTCCAATGTTTAATTCTGAGAAAGTGACAAAATATGCTCTAGAAAAATTCATGCTCTGAGAGAAGGGAAGGGGATGCATGCTGGAAGGCTCTCACCTTCTGTCTTGATCTTGAGTGCCGTGCGAACCAGGGCGAAGAGTGTGGCATTGAAGGTGACTGTGCCGTCACTATTCAAGGGCATGTTCATACCCACTAGCCGCTGTGACAGGAAAGGAAGTGGTTCAGTGCTGAAGGGGGACCAGGCCAAGCTTGGCAGGTCTCTGTGAGCTGTGTTAGAACATGAGGGCTGGGAAACAAGCTGAACAGGACACCGTGTTACATCCATGAGGGGATGGAAAGATGAGTTGAGATACATTGCTAAGAGTGTTGGTCCTAGGGAAGGGCTTGGAGACCCACAAAATCACTATTCTAAAATGACATCCCCCCTCTAACCACCACCAATCAGGGTCCTCTCCACATCTGTGCCTGGTTCTCTCTCAGGACCACCCTTCCCTGGCAGCTCTGATTACCTTACATGCTACCCGGTGTGGGCAGAACTTCCCAAAGCCCAGAGGGGGCTGGATCCGCCTCAGCAGGGTCACCACATCCAGGTGTTTGATTCTCCCCCTGTAGATATGCACAGACTTGTATACCCAGCTTTGCCAAGACCCCTGTCCCCAAGAAGAGAGCCAAGAGATGGAAAATACTTCCTCATTTTCAAAGCATGCTCAAGAAGTGGAAGCTGAGCTCCACTTTTGAAGAAGAGACAATGTTTAGATTCCCCATTGCCCAACACTTGGAATGACCGCTTTTCCTCTGGACCACATTCTCTCAGAAAGGGGTTCTCCAGACTTTACTTTCTCCATGGCAGAGCCGTTCTTGGGTTTTGGTTAAGTTGATAGGGGGCTCTTGGGCTACATTAATAAAAGTGGAGGATATGGATCAATGGGAGGAGGAAGCCCACTTCCAGAGACTGGTCCAGAGCTGGACACCAATAGGACCATGATCTCAGAGTAGGCAACCAGGAAGGTCAACTGAAGAGAGGAGCAAAGTGAGAGCAGTTGGCGTGTGTTGCCTTGAGAAAAGACAAGTTGGAAGGTCTTATTGGCTTGCTCTTTTTTCTCATGGCTGGCTTGGGAAACAGATTATATGTCTCCTGTCTGTCTCCAGGGTAGAATTAGGACTTATGAGTGGCTGCTAAAAAGAAGCAGGTAGTTGTTTTTTTGTTTTTTAAGTTTTTATTGTGAATTGAGTGATAGTTTACATGGTATAAAATTAGTTTTACACTCATTGTTTCATTGTAATGATTACAGTCTCCTCTGTGCATCATCATTCAACAGTATTTTCTTCTATTTCCTCTGTTTGTTTTTTTTCGGGGGGGGGGAATCTATATTAAACACTCAGGAATATATAATCATTTAAACAACCAAAGGGCACATTCTGCATGTCTGCCTCCTGTCTGCCAGCACACAGCCTTTCTCTTTCTACCAGTTGAGAGTACTCAGCTCCTCTATCTCTCCATGTCATCATCTCTGCTACCATATCTGGTGTTGCTGCTTCTCTGGATAGGGTCCCACATTCCACTCTTTCTCTTCTCCCTTGATGGTCCTAGGGTCCTCTGTTCCTGGACTGTAAGATGAACTATTCCCCCCTTTTTGTTACAAAACTGCTTTTATAATTCTGACAGTTGCAATTACTCTTGATAACAATTACTCACTGTTGAGTCGTATGAATCTTATCCCTATCTCCTTTCACCAGATCCATCTAGACAAGATGAAAACTATTCAATGGGGACTTTATCTTCCCTCGCACACTCTTAAACTAAACTCCCTCTTGAAAACTTGTAATCCAGTCACTTTGTGCCTCTATCACCCCCACATTTTAGGTAGCCAATGTCTAAGTTGCCCGTCCCTATCTACCCTGTATACAGAGAAGATAGCATTAATATTTGATGTGACGACTCCTTCCCTCTCAATTGGTATTTTGAGCTACTACATCCATAAGTATAGGTCAAGTTCATAAAATTGTAGCAATTTATACTTGTTTCCATTATCAAAGAAATTTCTTTTTATCTAGAAGCAGGTAGTTTTTTGACTCACCTGAAGTACACACTTTAAAATATAGTTGTTATAGGCAACTTGTTCAATATCACACAAATTGCTTTGAATCTTGGTTCCATCTCTTACTAGCTGCGTGACTTAACCTCTCTGAACTTCACTTCCTTGTCTGTGAAACTGAGGTGATAAGAAGACCTATGTCTCCTTAGGTTTTGGAAGGATTAAGGTGGATAATACATGTAGTATTTAGTCCAATGGTGACACATAGGGCACATTCATTGACTATAAGCTTATTGAGTCCCTGAGTGGCACAAATAGTTAACGTTTCACTAATACTGAAAGGTTGGCCTTTCGAACCTACCTAGAAGCACCCCAGAAGATAGCTCTCACAATCTGCTTCCAAGAGGTCACAGCCTTGAAAACCCATGGAGCAGTTCTACTCTGCCATGAATTGGAATCGACGTAATGGCAACCACTACCATGAGCTAATTATCTTTTTAGGAAGGATTGAAGAGAGCACTGGTTCATCATCTTAATTTACATATGAATGCCTTGAGTCTCTTTTTCATAATTTTCAGATTCTAACCCCTTCTCTGGGTTTGGGCCTGGTACTGCATTTTCAACAAGCTCCCATACTTCTGGTCAGCTGACCAACATTTGGAATAGCTCTGAAAGGGTAGTTGCTATGAGTCAGGCAGCTAACCTAAAGGTCAGCAGTTCAAAACTACTAGCTGTTCCTCAGGAGAATGATGAGGCTTTCTGCTTTTATAAAGATTTATAGCCTCGAAAATGCTAGGAGTCAGAACTGACTCCATGGTACACCACAGGAAGGGCCTAGAGTACCTTGAAGGAACTCTGGTAGTGCAGTTTTTTGGTGCTAAGTTCCTCATGGAAAGGTCGGTGGTTTGAACCCACCAGCTGTTCCATGGAGAAAAGATGTAGTAGTCTATTTTTGGAAACCCTATGGGACTATTCTACTTTCTCCTTTAAGGTCACTATGATTAGAATCTATAGCAATGAGAGCATGCCTTGTGAAGCATTGAGTTCCCTGCTCTTCAAAGTCTCCAGGTAGAAGTTAGATGAGCATTTCTCTGTCCTGGGAGGTCTGGTGGACACTTCCCAAGAGACTAATTCTCTGGCCTGGGATCTTGGATAAATGAAAGGAGAAAGAGAAGCCCATTCATATCTATTGAACTGGAGGATGACTTCCCATGGGGCACTAAACTGGGCCTAGGACAGAGGGATAGACAGTGGACTCACTTGGCCTCCGGGTCGTACTCTGCCCAGATGGCCTTGAACTCATCCAGGTGGTGAGGGCCCAGGATGGACCAGTCCCGCGTGAGGTAGTCAAAGTTGTCCATGATGACAGCCACAAAGAGGTTGATGATCTGCAAGGAGAGAACCAACAGGGAAAGGCAGGTCATATAGGACTGGGGTGGGGAACAGGGAGATCAAGCTGAGTATAGACTCATAGTTTCATCCTGTGTCCTTCACTCCAGCCTTTCTGAGGTTCCACAGCCCCCCTCCCACCCCACAAACCATGCTGCATCACGCCTTGGTGCTCTTGCATAGGTAGCATCCTCTGCTGGGAGAACCTGAGCTCATCCTCCAAACCCAGCTCAAGCATAGCTTTGGAAGTGACACCAGTCTCGGCCCTACCCTGGGAAGAGGTGCTCTCCCTCCTGTGTGCCATCACTCACTGCTGAATAGTACTGCTTTCATCTTCTGTATATACTGAGCATTGCATTCCTTTATTGCAAGGTTTGCTTATGCGTGGGCTCCCTCGGGGCCAGGACTGTGTCTTATTCATGTTTCTGCCCCCTCAACTGAGCCCAGGGCCTGGTATACATCCCCTACTTAAACCGCTGGTTTGAGAGAGTGTGGAAAAGAAGAAAGGGTGAAGGAGGAGGGCTCAGGGTACTCCACTAGGTACCTCCCCCACAGGAAACAGCCTGGCGCCTCCAGACAGCCTGGCGCTGTTTCTAACCCTAAGGATGACTTCCTCCTCACAATGGGGACGCTTTCCTCTTCCTTCCTCTCTAGGGCAGGAGTAAGGAGCCCTGGTGGTGCAGTGGTTAAACGCTCCACTGCTAACCAAAATGCCAGCAGTTCAAGCCCACTAGCTGATCTGCAGGAGAAAAGACCGGGCCATCTGCTCCTGTAAAGATTTACAATCTTAGAAACCCTGTGGGGCAGTTCTCTCTCTTAGTGGGCTGCTATGAGTGAGGATTGATTCAACTGCACACAACAACATCCAGGGTTGAAAAAAGCATTCATGAAACAAAGGAGAGCCTCTTATGCTCCTAGGGTTGATCCCTGGAGAGACAAGGAGCCCCAAAGAAGAAGAAGGAGGCTGCCACTGCCTCAGCCCCCAGAACATCTCACCAGGAAGGCGCAGAGCATGTAGAAACTGATGAAGTAGTAATAGGCGAAGTTGGTGCCGCATGTGTACTCCTCGCCGGGGATGTAGTCTGACTCTGGGTCACACAACTTCCCGTAGCTGCTGGCCAGCAGAATCTCCTGCCAGGCCTCCCCTGTTGCACACCTGGAGGAGGAGAGGCTCCTCTGTTGGCCTAGCCAGTCTTAGGTGGCCCTTCAGGAAGCCAGCAGCCTGGTGGGGACAGGGTGTGGACTGGTGACCAGAAGGGGGCTGCTGTCTTAGAAGTGGGGATTCCAGATCTCCCAGAATTACTGTATAGCTCAGTGTGAGCTAGACTTCAGGTTCCCTCTGCTCTGTAGCCCTGTTCTCTACCTTCATGGGGTACTACAAGCAGAAGCTAAGGGTTTCCTTGGATGGAGGAACAAAATCAACCCAGGATTCAGTCTCTGGTGGGGAAGCAGCAAGAGAGTTGTGCTGACCACTGACCAAGGTGAAGGGCAATGGGGAGAATGTTTGACCCAGTGTAAAATGCAAATGCAGGCCCCCTTGTTCACAAAGCATTAAGGGCTTTTCCACAGTGACAGAAAAGCATTCAACCAAGTGCAGAGCCTTCTAAGCTCTGGGCTCCTGTGCAAGGCCACCAGCCTGTAAAGCCCATCCTGCACCCCCTCCCCATGCCAGGTGGCGGAAGCTGAGGGATGGCTCAGACTGTCAATTGGGTGTGGAAGAAGTATATGGGACTCCTGCCTGAAGAGCAGCAACACAGCTTGTGGGAAGGTCTGGAAGTTGTTGTTCCGGTTTATTTGGGTCCCATCCACCATGGCGATCTTTCCGAACATCTGGGAATCACAAAGAGATCAGACTTTAGGTATAAGACTCTCCTTTGCTCATTTCCTGTTTGTCCTGCTGACCACCTTCACCTAAGTCCCCTTCTCTTCAGATCACATGAGACCTGAATTAAGATAATTTGCATTACTTCCTAGGTTAGATGAAGTTCTTCCCACCAAGCCAAAGCAAAGTAGAGGGGTAGATCGGTTTTGTTAACAGTCAGCAGATCCAGGGATGCCTGTGTGTGTGAGGAGTATGCTCAGGGAGGTAGACTGGCACCATCTGGACCTCCAGTCAGGCTTCAGAGACATGATCTGGCCCATGCTGCCCATCTGCACGCCAAGGTTTCTCCTGGATCATTTCCAACCTTTAACACTAGAACCATCTGGGGACCGGGCACCAGGACTCCTCATTCAGTCTTGCAGCTGACCTCCTAAACTGCCAGGATGAATGAAGGTCCAGCCTTCTGATTAAGGCTCTCTAGCATCCACTGATGCCTCCTCTAAATTGGCCAAACTCCATCCCTGAGTCTGGCCCAGCTGCCACTCACCTGCATGCCAATGACAGCATAGATGAAGAACAGCATGACAATGAGCAGAGCCACGTAAGGCAGGGCCTGGGGGTGAGAGGGGAAGCATCAGCATCATGGGGCTCCACAGCCCGCTTTACAGCCCTCCTGCCTGTAGTTCATAGGGCCCTGCTTCACTTATCTTAGGCATCCCAAGATCCCACCTGGACTGAGGATGATGTCCCTAGTGGTCTCTCAAGGTCCCCAGCTTGGGTGGGCTGGACATGCATACCTGAAAGGACTTGATGAAGGTCCACAGCAGGGTGCGCACCCCCTCTGCCCGGCTCAGCAGCTTGATCAGCCTCATGACCCGGAACAGGCGGAAGAAGGCGCTGGAGATTCGGGCACTCTCATCTGGGTCCTGCCGGGCAGCAGCCCCAGAGGTCAGTCTGGAGCAGCACTTCAAGTGGGGCAAGGGGCAGGGCAGGGCAGGAGGTGCAATGGCAGGCTTTGCATGGGCATGTATGAATTTATGCTTGTATGTGTGTGTGTGTGTGTGTGTGTGTGTGTGTGTGTGCATTTGTGTGTGACGGGGGTATGTCCCTGGGAGGAGGAGCTCCAGCCCTACTGCACAGACCAGACTGCCCACTAGCTCTGGACCATCTATGGGCTCAGGGCTCTGGGCTTGTTCAGCTGGGAGGAAGGGAGGTGGGCTTGGAGGACAGGCACAGATTCCACCTAGACCAGGCTACAGCCTGCTGCCTGTGCTTTTGGGTCTCTTGACTCATCTCACCTCCTCCAGTAGCCACTGAGTGGCACTGGTGACCTTCTTAAGCCCCCTCCCCTGGTGTCCTCCCATACCCGTCCCTGGGTTCTCTCAAGCTCAGATGCTCTATTGCCATAAATACAGCACAGCCACTTACTGCCCACAACCCCACCTTAAGGCTGGGCTTAGCTGGACAAGGCTCTGCCTGGATGCCTTTGTTGTTTCTAAGTGCCTTCAAGTCAGTTCTGACTCATAGCAACCCGGTGTAGCTTCCAAGGAGTGGCTAGTGGGTTTGAACTGCTGACCTTGTAGTTAGCAATCCAACTCCTGAAGGAAAAAGCCCTCCCCACCCAGTTTCCCAAGTCCCCAAAGGCTCTCGTCCTCTGAGCTGCCACTATGCTCCTATTCCAGCCAGCACAGTGCTCTCTGGATGTTCCCATGTGCAGGAAGGGTGCTGAAGAAAACCCTCATCCTATTATGCAGGGCTCTGAGAAAGCCACTACACCCATGCACATTCTATCACACAACCTCGTGCCAGACCTAACCCTCCCAGACCCCTCAGAGGGCCTACTCTGGGGAAGGTGCCACCCCATGCAATGCATGTGGCCAGGCCTAAGCAAGCAGGACAGAGAGCTGGCGGGCGTGCGGCAGGCCCATGCAGCCTGAAATTACAACGTTCCCGCAGCCTCCACCCAGGCAATATAGTCCCCCGCTGGAGGCCAGGAAAGTCTGTGGAGAGAAGAGATGGAGGGAAGGGAAGGACAGGGAGAGGGACACGGTGGGAGGGAGGTGAGGAGAGTGTCAGAAAAGGCAGACACACAGAAGAGTTAAAGAGAAAAAAAGAAAGGCAAGGTCTGAAGACCCCAAATGCTTGTCAACCAGGGGAGGGACTAGGGGAAAGGGAATGAGGATGAAGCTCTGGGGGACAGTGAGGCAGGAGGCTGGGGGCAGGGAGCAAGAAGAGGAAGGAAGACTGGGCAGGGGGAAGTCCCTCTTTGTCTCCAGATCTATTTACAGTTGGCATGGGGCTCAGGTTCTTCCTGTGTATCCCAGTTATAAGAAGCTGGTGACCTCCCTGGTGAGAGCACACTGGAGAAGGTTTGCGGCTTTTTATAAGGGGGCTTCAGAAATTTCATGGGAAAATGGAATGGAATTTTTCCATGAACTTTTTGAAGTTCCCTGGTAAATGGAGTCACACTCCTGACTCCCTGAGGCACTGAGATCTGTAAGGAAGTCCCATTTCCTGGTGTAGAGCTGCCCTGGGGGAGTCTGCAATCCCATCAGCAGATGTCTCTCTGCTCCAGGACTGGGACTAGGATCAAGGCTTGTACCTCAGTGGCCAGGGTCCTAAAGGGCAGGTTTTATATATATATATATATATATTTTTTTTTTTTTTCCTGTTTACCCTGAGTATCTTCTTTCTGCTACATTCATAAGAAGATTGCGGTCTGGAATTCTGTTCTAGGGGAATTCAGTTGTTTCATCTTATAACTATCCAAAGTGGACTAGTCTCTAGCATACTTCTTTTCCAGGCCAAGTGGCATTCTTTTGGACTGTCTTTCCCTGGACTACCAGTTCACAACCCTGGCTGCACATCAGAATTACTTGGGGGAACTTAAAGAAAAAAGTTATCTATGCTGGATCCTCCACAGGCCAATGAAGTTAGCTTCTCTAAGATGGAGACTGACTTCACAATTCTTAAATAAACTCCACACCAACCAGTTGCCATTGAATTGATTGTAACTCATGGTGTCCCCATGTGTGCCAGGGTAGAACCATGTTCCAGTGGGTTTTCAGGGCTGATTTTTTTGAAAGTAGATCACCAGACCTATCTCCTCAGGTAGGTGCCTCTGGGTGGACTCAAACCTCCAACCTTTTGGTTGGCAACTGGTGTGTTAACTGTTTGCACCACCCTGGGACTTCAAATATACTCCAAGTGATTCTAATATGAAGCCAGGGATGATAACCTCTAATCTAGACCTGCGTTGTCCAATGTAATAACCACCAGTCACACATGGTTATTTGAATTACAATGAACAATAATGAAATAAAGTTAGAAATTCAATTGCTCAATTGCACTAATGACATTTCAAGTGATTTATAGGTTCATTCAGTTAGTGCCTACTGTACTGGACAGAGCAGAACATTGTCACCATCACAGATAGGTCTACAGGACAATGTTGCCCTGGACCTTCTGAACTTCTTCTGCTTTGTGCTTCAGGAATCCATTTCAATATGACTTCAGGTCAACCTCCCTGGTAAAGGGACATATGCTGCTCCTAAAACTCAACTGATGACCAATGATACTCCTATCCTCCACCAAAGAAATGGTATTCAGATCTCCCCAGCCTCAAGAAGTAACTTTTCATTTTTATTTTGGGCTGTTTATTTTGGCTCTTTAGAATTCTCTCTTCAGACTGGGCTGGTGAGAAGCGCTGTTCTTAAACCAAGGAGCCCTTTGGGATGCTGCCTCCAAGCCCGAGCTCAGCTTGGATGGAAATACACACATGCTCATTGGTTTTGCCCAGAACTCACCCTCCCCTGGCAGGTCCCGCCCTCTTGAGGGATCTGAGCAGATGGGGTTCTGTCTGTCACTGTCTGTTGTGTACATGTGGCTGAACAGGATTCCAGCCTGGGTCCTCCCCTGGCACACTAGACAGACAGCTGTGGAGCCAAGTCCCCAGAAGGGGCCGTTCGGTGCCAGGGCTCAGTGTTCAGAAGCACTGGGCCCAGGGTTCCCACACACTCCACACTTCCTCAGTTACCCCCTCATCCTCACCCCTTCTCATATCTCCAATGCTGAGTTCCTCCTCCCCACCCACCATTGTTTCACCCCATGGGCAGGTGTTGTCTAAAGTGCTTTTTACTGAACAATGGGAAGTTCAGGGGGAAGGTCAACTTACAATGAGCCCTGTACCCCATTTTAAACCCAGCCACCTCTCAAGTACACTAGCCACCTCTCAAGTACAGCCCTACCCTGGCCACAGTTATGGTGGTTCAGAAAGATGTCTGCTCTCCTCTTTCAGATTCTCAGCCAGGCCACTTCTAGAAGGCTCCACTTGTAACATACTGAGTGTAGGCTTCTCTGGCTGCTCCCTTGCCTTGTCTCCTCTCACTACTGATCGGATGCTACAGGATTTCTCATTCCATCTCAGGGCCTCATCCTCTCTATTCCCATCTGTTGGCCCAGATCTGGGGGTCATTTGCCTCCCTGTTCAGCCTGGGCTCCAGGCTCTGCTGTTTCAGTAACAGTCTTGCTTGCCCTGAGTTGCTTCTCCCATTGTGCCCTCTAAACCGCACTGTCCCTGGGATCTGACCTCTTTCCTCAAGCTCCTGGAGTGCCAAGCTTTACCCCAGGATGAAACCAAACTGATGAACACTGCCCCCCTTCCACTCAGGTCTCTGCTGCACTTTGCCTGGCCACCCTGATTCTCCCCTAGAGAACCATTCACCACATCAGTTGCTCCTAAAGGTCACTCAGACCCTCCTGCCTACCATTTTCCCTTCCAGAGGACTCTGCTTCCTGCCTCTTAGACACTCCCACAGCCACCTTGCACACATCACATATTCTATCATCTCTTTCTCACACTGTATCTCTTTCTGGTGTTCTACATCCAGTCTCCTCTGAAACTTTAATTGCCTCCTCCATGGCCTATTCTCATGCATGACTTAAATCTTTCCTCTGTCTTGGCTAGATCCAGAATTCTTTATTTTCCTAAAGTAAATCTACACTTTGAATCTAGCACTCTCCAATAACCAACTCTCACCCAGCTTCTCATAAAAACTGTTTCCTGAACTCAAATGCTTTGCTTTTCTCTGCGGCACTGTGGGTTAATGCACCAGACAGCAAAGCCATTTGAACTGCAAGGTCAGTGGTTCAAGCTCACCAGGTGCTCCTTGGAAACCCTATACAGGGTTGCTAGGGGTTGGAACTTATTCGATGGCACTTAGCAACAACAACAACAAAGCCACGGCTCAATCCTTTATAATTGACATCAACCCAGGTCTGCTAACTGCCACCTGAAGCTTTGTGATGGTCTCCTAATCACTCACCTTTGTACGGGCATCTCAACTCCTTTGTAGTCATTTAGTCCCACCCACGGTTTCCATCATCACCTCAATGATCGGTGTCCAGCTCATGTTTAAAGAGTTCCTGCCATCTACTAAGGTCCCTGAGTGGCACAAACCTTTGCAATCTACTAACCAAAAGATGGTTAACTCAAATCCATCCAGTGATGTGCTGGAAAAAAACTCTCGTGACCTATATAGCCATTGAAAACCCTGTGGAGTACAATTCTACTCTGAGTTGAATCAGTTTGATGGCGATCGGTTTTGTTTGTTTGTTTGGTATTTCACCATGTACTCGATGCAAAGATGACAGTCCTGTCCACACCTACATTTCCAACTGCTTACTACACATCTCTATCTGTTTATTCCCCCATATGGGCATTTCACACTCAATAGTCCAAACAGAATAATGATGTGTGTGTTCCTTCTCTTCTGGGTTAACAGTTGAATACTCAGAGTCATCTCACACCCTTGTCTTCCCATTAGTCCAAGGTCTGGTGGTGGTTATGTTCCGAGGAGTTGGTTCTGACTCACAGCGACCCTGTACAGGGTTTCTGAGGCTATACTCTGGTAGCGTAGTGGTTACGAATCGGGCTGCGAACCTTAAGGTCAGCGGTTCGAAACTACCAGCCGCTCTGCGGGAAAAAGATGAGGCTTTCTACTCCCGTAAAGATTTACACCCTCGGAAACCCTGTATAGGGTCGCTATGGGTCGGAACCGACTCGATGGCACTTAACAACAACAACAACAACAACATTTTTATAGGAGCAAAAAGCCTCATCTTTCTCTCATGGAACAGCTGGTAGTTTTGAACTGCTGACCTTAAGGTTTGCAGCCCTATTTGTAACAACTACGCTACTCACCAAATCCTGTTGTTGTTAAGTGCCATTGAGCTGATTTCAACTCATAGCGACCCTGTATAGGGTTTCCAAAGAGTAGCTGGTGGGTTTGAGCTGTTGTCCTTGTGGTTCAAACTGACCTTGCAGTCAAGCGCATCATTCTGCAGTGCCACACCAGGACTCCTGTTAGCCTCTCTCAAAGTCTCTGAGCTATTCTTTTCCTCTGTCCCGGTCTGAGTCCTGACTCGCATTACTTTGTGCCCATTTTCTTGGCCTTCTCTCTTGCTGCCATGGATGAACTGTACCTTTAACTGTTTAATTGTTGCTTGGGCACTGGATACCAGGCCCACTCATTTATTAAAGGAACTTGGCTCTGGAAGTTGCCTAATGGCAACCAGCAATTTGCATGAGTCCAAAGACATGCTATAATGTCTCTAATTTTCAGGGAAAACTCTCCTTTATCCCACATTCTTTTGCAACTTCTATTTGCTTTCTCTTTGTGACAAAACATCTGGAAGGACTTGTTAATACTCCCAGCCTTTACTTTCTCTCCTCAATTCATTCCAACCAAATGTTCTCCCCCATAGGTCCAACAAAACTTCTCTTGTGAAGGTCACCCATGACCTCCATCAGTGACTTCCACAAATCCAAGTCAATGTTTAGTTCTCACCCTCCTTGACCTTCCAGCAGTGTTCAGCACAGCCACTGTCTTCTTACAACATTGTTCTGTTGCTTTTAGAACTTTACTATTTTGGTTCCTGCCTCAGTGGTCAGTTTCTTCTAACTTCTATTCACTGAATTCTCTGACACTGGAGTGCTCCAGGGCTCAGTCCTTTTTACTTTTCTCTCTAAATACCTGTCTGTCTTAGTTCTCTAGTGCAGCTATACAGAAATACCACAAATGGGTGCTTTAACAAACAGAACTTTATTTTCTATTTAGGAGGCTAGCAGTCCAAATTTGGACCACTGGCTCTATGGAAAGGTTCTTTCTATGTCTGCTCCAGGGGAAGACCCCTGTCCCCTTTAAGCTTCTATCCCTAGATTCCTTGGTTTTTATGTTGTATGTATCTTCCCCTCCTTTGTGCTTGCTTGTTTAATTTGTTCTTTTATAGCTCCAAAGAAACTCAAGAACCCTACATTAATACTGCCTCATTAATATCATAACATAGCAAATGGAATCACATCTACATGTACAGGAGTTAGGGTTCCAACATATATTTTGAGGGGAATACAATTCAACACTTAACACCTTTCTAAGCCTTCTTATCCATTCCTATGACTTTAAATACAGTCAATGTGTTGTAGAGTCTCAGATTTATACCTTCAACTTGACCCAGTCTCTGAAGTCCACACTCATAAATCCAACTTTCTACCTCGCATTTCCATTTGGAAGTCTAGTAGGCATTCCAAGTTTAACGTGTCCAAAGCTTTTGGTTTCTGGCCCTGTCTCTGCTCCTTCAACAGTTTCCACATCTCCGTGAGTAGAAGCTCAGCTGATTGTGCAAAATCCTTGCAATCATTCTTGAGTTATTTTCTCTTACCCCAAATCAAGCCCATCAGCAGATATTCTCAGTTCAGCCTTCACAATTGATTCAGAAGCTGACCATCTTCCACCCCTCCATAGTGGGCACATCAGTCACCATCCTCTCTCATAGGGACTGTTGTAGCAGTTGTCTGTCTGATCACTCTCCCTGGGTCTGCTCTGTCCCTACAGTTTGTTCTTAACTTAGAAGCCAGAGTGAGCCTTTGAGAACTAAATCAGGCCAGGCTTAAACCTTCCACGTGTCTCTCATCTTACACTAAAACCCAAGATCATTACCATGACCTTTAAGGGCCTAGGTGATCTGGTCCCTACCTTGTCTCTTTGAGCTTATCTCCACATTCTCTACTCCCGATGTAAGGGCCTCTTGCTAGTCCTCAAACTCACCAACCATTCTCAATCACAGGCCTTCACACTCATTCTCTTGTCTCCCTAAACTCAGTCCCCATCTCTGCATGGCTCATCCCCTTGATTTATTCAGGTCTCTGCTCAAATATCAGAGAGGCTTTCCCTGACACCACCCCACACTCTAAGTCCTAGGTGTTGTTGCTAGCTGGCACTGAGTCAGCCTCCAAATAATGGCTACCCCATACACAACGGAGCAAAATAGTGCCGGGTCCTGCACCATCCCCATGATTGGTTGCATATCGAACACTTGAGATTCATAGGGTTTTCATTGGTTCATTTTTAGAAGTATATCACCAGGCCTTTCTTCCTGGTCTTAGTCTAGAAGACAACATCACAGCAACCTTCTGCTGACAGATGAGAGGTGGCTGCACAGAGGTTCAGAATGAGGACTCAAACCCAGATCCCCAGCATGGGAGGTGAGAACTCTACCACTGAGCCACCAATGCCTCATCTAAGTCCTTAACCTATTTTACTTTTCTTCATTACGTTTATCATCACTTGCTGTGTTAGAGATGTATGTGTTTATTGTCTGTTTCTCCTGTGATGTGTTCACTGCTGTCCCTCTAGCACTTGACCTGGCCCTCAGGAGGCACACGATAAATATTTGAGGCCTAACTGAAGATCTGACTTCCTAACTGGGCCCATATTGTCTCTCATTCTCTCCTCTTGCACTTCACTGCCAGATGAACATTTTGGAAGAATAGCGCTAATCCTTCTACTGCCCTTTGGTGGCTCTCCACTGTCTGCTAAGTCAAGTTCAAGTCTGACGTTCTACAGCCTCTTCTCTCCAGCCTCACCTCCCCCTTCTCTCCTCTGCATGTCCATATGCTTCCGCTAAGTTGGACCACTCAGCATGCCCCAAACTTACTTTGTACCTCCTGTTGTATGCCTCCCCAACAGTAGTCCTGCCTGTGGTGCTTACTCTCCTCTTCCAATTCTAATCACCACCTCTATACCACCCAGTACAGCTCTTCCTTCTTTCAGCTACTACAGCTCTGGCCTAGGAACACTCCCTGTCTACCTGGTACCCACACTGCAGGATCATAAGCTCTTTGTGAGCAGAACACACAATTGACAATCCCTTTTTGTAATCTCCAGGTACCATGCTGCACATGCAGTGGGTACCTCACAAATACAAGGGGGTTTCAAAAAGTCCATGGAAAAATGGAATGAAAATATTATGGAATTTTTTCCATGAACTGTTTGAAGCCTCCTCGTATCTGTGAACTGATCATATGCTTTGGGTCCCACTCCAGTAATGGTCCTGCCTGCCTGATACTTACATCAATTTCACTGAGGATAACATCAATGATGCTGCCAATGACAATCAAGAAGTCAAACACATTCCAGGGGTCTCCAAAATAACCCTGTGAAGGCAAGAGATGAGAGAAGCAGGGGATGAGCTTCCAGAGGAAGGAGCTCTGGAGACCAGCAGAGGGTAGTGGTTCCTGTAAGGCAAAACTGCTGGACCAGGCCAGGTAGGACCAGGGCTCCACTCTCCAGTGGTACTCCAGTGTAATCACACCTGAATACCTCCCCCTAGACTCTTTATTTCTCTTCCTCTAGTGCACAAAGTGGTAGGAAGGGAGAGGGAAAGGTATAAGCACTTAGGATTTGGGATCTTGATCTAGGCTAGGGAACTCTTTCATTTTCCTGACCCTCCACTGCAAACCCCACCTGAGGCTTGACCTTGTAGAACCATCAGGTGGTGCCTGGGATGGACTTGGAACAGTAGGAATGAGCTTGAGAACCAAACAGAGTGAAATATTTTTGTTGGCCCTGGCCTGTTCTTCAAAAGCTTAAAAGAAGATGGGGAATGTAAGGTAGGCTCAAAAAAGAGGACAGAAACAAGGCCCTTAGCTTCTGGTCTATCACTGGTCACTTATGAGCACCTTGCAGATTTTGCCCAGCCTGAATCTGAAGTTGAAAGCGAACAGTGGGGTGAGCAAGTTGAGAGCTGGGTAAGTGGGTCTTCAGAGACATGAGAGGGTGGGCTGGCTGGTCCATGAGAAGCCCTCCCCCCACCATCCCACTGTGCCCTGGCTACCCTCTCTGCTCTGTGTCTTGCTCTGTGATTCCAACACTTACCCTGGCCTTGAATGCCATGAGCTTGAGGATCATCTCCAAGGTGAAGATAATGGTGAAGGCCACGTTGAGGATATCTGAAATGTGGTTCATCTGCTCTGATTGGTTGTAATGCTGTGTAGGGAACATGGGAGATGAAGGTTTAGGAGTGGTTGGGCTTCTCTCTTATAGACTGCATTCTTGAAGCCCCAACCTCTTCCTGGGCTATCCCCACCCCCCACCTTGGGCCTCCTTCCCACCCTTCTTAGCTCAGAAAACTAAGAGCCTACTTTAGCATCATCCAAATTCCATTAAGACTTATGGAGCTCTTAGAGGCAATGAAAAGCAGCAGGAGAGGTGCTCTAATTCCAAGTCCTGCTGAGTGGATTTATTTAGAGCCAGGGCTGTAAGACCAGAGCTTATTGGTTCTGGAATGATGAGAGGGTTCGAGGCAGGGCTTCTATAGCAGTCCCATTTAGTAACTTAGGTACAAAGCTAGGAAAGAAGACTCTAGGACTCTAGAGCTGCCATTATCACTGACTACTGATGGGGCAAGGAGTCCTGGTGCTGCAACAGTTAAGCGCTCAGCTGCTAACTGAAAGATTGGCACTTTGAACCAACCAACAACTCACGGGGAGAAACACCTGGCAATATGCTTCCACAAAGGTGATTGTTGTCGTTAAATGCCGTCAAGTAGGTTCCAACCCATAGCGATCCTGTGTAGGGTTTCTGAGGAGCGACTGGTGAGTTTGAACTGCTGACCTTGTGGTTCAAACCAACCTTGTGGTCCAGTACTTATCCTACAGTTACACCAAGACTGCCAAGGTTACAGCCAGGAAAAACCGTACAGGGCAGTTCTGCTTTGTCATATGAGGTATGAATTAGAAACCATAGCACCGGTGGGGGCTGAGCTCACTAAGTTACCGTATCTGCATGCTGGCCACAATGATGATGATACAGTTAGTTATGAACAATAACCTTGAACCTCTCGTTCCATCACTATGACCTCTTTCATTTCTTTTCCTTATACATTCCCCCAATAATCTCTTATCTTTCTTTTTAAAAATTGATGAAACCCCCCTCTTCCACAGACCCTTCCTAGATAGTTCAGAGGATCTGAGGCCTGCCCACCTGCACCTTTGCCCCAACTATGCTAACTCATTTGGCCCCCCACACAAGCCATTGCTCTGATCCTCGGTACAGTGTAGGTCTGCTGTCTCTGTGACTCCCTGTGGTCTAATGACCAGGCTGTGTGTGCACAAGTCACTCAGTGTGTCTGGACTCCTAGCAACAGGGAGCCTAGCTGTGCAGTTCTATGTATGCAGGGCTTAAGGGGCCAGATGCTTAATCGAGGCTCCATCATGATGCTGTGATTATGACATTGTCTGTAAAGTGTGCTCATCTTCTAAAAGAGACACCTGCTCTGTGACTACTAAACCCACTCTTCTTGGGACCTGAACCAAGATTCCAACCTGCTCAACTATCCAGCCAGGCACCAGTAGAAGGCAAATGGAGAAAGCATGTTCTGTGCCTCATACTCCTTCTCCTTCTGTAGTGACCATAACCTGTGTATGGAACTAGCACAGCAATATGTACACCTGAATTCTTTCAATAAACCATCAGGACCTGGTGGACAAGACCAGGGTCCTGTTCACCCCAGTGCCTGGCACATTTTAGGGGTTCAAGAAATGTCTATGTGTAGGGGAAGACCAGATTGGAATCCTGCCTGCCCAACCTGCCTGCCCAGTCCTATCAGAGACCTTTCTCTTGAGGGCCCCTTACCTGCATACCCAGGCAGATGGTGTTGAGCATGATGAGTGCAAACATCAGGTATTCGAAGTAGGAGGAGGTGACAACGTACCACACCTTGTACTGGTATGGATTTTTGGGGATGTAGCATCTCAGTGGGCGGGCTTTCAGGGCATACTGTACACACTGGCGCTGAGACACAACACAATGAGACAGGTCAACACCAAGGACCTCTCCATCCCTCTCCATACCCATACCCATGGGCTGCTAAGAACCTGCATTTATGTAATCCATGAGTAGCTGTGACCAGGAGCTTGAGTATGAGGGACTCTAGGAAGAGGTGGACTATTTCGAGAGTCCCATTGGGCTCTGAACCCAGAAGGTCCCCTTGGGATACCCTGGATATACCATGGCTCATTTCTAAGATGGTTCTAGTTCAGCCAAGGGCCTCCAAAGGGCTTCCTTGTTCTGGGCATCATGAGAGTTCTAGGAGAAGACTGCCCACTCCACCAGATTGTATTGCTTCAGGTTGGAGATAGGGTTGGATAAAGGGAGGCTGGAGGTAAGCATCAGAAAGGGGATCTGGGACAACTCTCAGCCCTGAGAACTCTTGGCTGGCCAGATTTCAGGGCTTGGAGTGTCAGTAGAGTTGCTGGGAATCTTCTATCCTTCTCCAGGTACCTGATTCTTGTCTAGCTCACAGTTCTTGTACTCAGTCTGTCCCTGCTCCTGGAAGGTGACAATAACAAAGCCCACAAAGATATTCATCATGAAGAAAGCGATGAGGATGATGTAGATGATGAAGAAGATGGCTATCTCCACTCGGTTGTTGTAGATGGGGCCCGTGTCCTCCTTGTTGGAGTCTATGGCCTTGTACAGTAACCTAGGGGTGTATAGGAAAGAGAGGATGGGCTGTATAGGTGTGAAGGGGCAGAGAACTAGGCCAGGAAGAAGGGTGGACTCTATCCAACAGGTCATAGAGAGACAGGAAAACTTTCTGAGCAGCCAAGTGAAGGGAGAGAAATAATGATTGGCCAGGAAGAGGCTGGCTGAAACAGATCCTGAAATGGCCATACCTTGCATTTCCATGGATCAGAGGGGCTCCCCAGGAAGGCAGAGAGGTACACACCTAAGTACAGACTGGGTACATTTTGTCAGAGCCCTTGGTCTGTTTCCTTTTGGAGTGAGCATCAAATTGTCATCCCAACAAGGCATCAGAGAGTAGGTAGGATTTGTTGAGCACTTGCCATGGGCTTGGCCTGGCCTTAGGTGCAGTGAGGACTGTAGAAGGGCAGGCATTGCCCCTTCCATGCCTATGTTGAACCTGGGCCCCAGTCCTTACTCACTGAGGCCATCCTTCGAAGGTGGAGACTGTGAAGAGTGACATCATGGCCGAGAGCACGTTGTCAAAGTGAAACTCGTTATGTATCCACTGCCGGGGACGCAGCTCCATCTGTGTGGGGTCCCCATCTTTGTATACGTAGTAGTAGCCCCTATGTAGGGAAGCCTGGTCACTCTCCTGCATGTGATTGAGCTGCCATCTCCCACCCCCATCCTCTGGGCCTTGGGCAGTGAATATGCAGAGAAATGAAAAACTCTTATCTAAGACCAGAGGGGACACTGCGGGTTCCCTTCCCACAGGTGTCGAAGGAAAAGTCTTCTCTGAACATCCCTGTTAGAGCTCCTGGCTCAGGTTTCCCAGTTCCTCAGCCCAACAGACCACCTTTTCACATTAAGCTCCCATTCACGACCTCTCTTATGCACAACACAGTCCTCAGAGCATAGCATACCTGCATTCTTCTTCTGTCATCTTGGATAAGTCATTGCAGCTGAAGAACTTCCCCTAAGTCCAGGAGAAGGAGGGAAGGAGAAATGCTTATGGAAACAGTATTAAAGATGGACTATGGAAGTGGAAGTGAGTGACAGGAAGGAAAAGGGAAAAAGGGACAGCAAGAAGCAGGAGACTGTCCTCTTCCCTCCACAAGACACCTAACTCTTGGGACCAAACTAGTTGGAATGGGTCCATTTCAACATGTGTATGTCAGAGTAGAACAGTGCTCTATAGGGTTTTTTTCTTTTATTCCTTTTTATTTATTTTGTAGTTGTTGAGAGTGTACACAGCAAAACATACAACAATTTCACAGTCTCTACATGTACACTTCAGTAGTGTTGATTACATTCTCGGAGTTGTGCAATCATTTGCACCCCCCCTTTTCTGAGTTGTTTCTTCCCAATTAACATGAACTCACTGCCTTCTAAATTTTCAAGTTGCCGTTGTCAATTTGATCACATAGTTTTTAAATGATCATAATGGTCTAGCAGATGTTTTTTATTTGTTAAGCTAAACTGTTGTTTGGCTTTTAAGAAGACTTCAGGGGATATTTTTGGTTTAAGATTTAAAGATTATGTCAGGATGGTACTTTTGGGGATTTGTCCAACCTTCATGGCTGTCTGGAGTATGTGAGAATTTATAATTCTGTTCTGTATTTTCCCTTTTTTGATCAGGATTTTTCTGTGGAATCTATGATCAAAATGTTCAGTAATGATAGCCAGACACTCTCCAGTTCTTCTGATCTCATGGTATAGGAGATAGTTGTTCATAGAGGCAATTATCCACATCCTCCTTGCTCCGTCTTCTTCTGTTGCTCCAGTCAAATAGAGACCAAACGGCGACTTGCAAGCTTTTAAGACTCTAGGTACTACGCAACAAATTAAGAGGTAGAACAGAGGCACTAAATCTGTTACTAGACCATATATGTAGAATGACATCAAAAACACCATACAGGAAGAAAGCAAAAGGTCATTAAGAAGACAAGAGAAGGAAAAGACCAAAATGGATATCAGAAGAGACACTGAAACTTGCTTTCCAACATAGAGATGCTAAAGTAAATGGAAGAAATGAGCAAGTAAAAGAGTTGAGCAGAAAATTTCAAAGGCAGCTTGAAAAGACAAACTCAAGTATTCAACTGAAATACACAAAGACTTAGAGTCAGAAAGCCAAAAGGGAAGAAAATGCTCAGCATTTTTCAAGCTGGAAGAATTCAAGAAAAAAATCCAACCCTTGACTTGAAATATTGAAGGATTCTATGGGTAACATGGACTTCTGGTGTGGCGCTTAAGATCAGTCCTGGACTGTGAACCATAAGGTCAGCAGTTCAAACCCAACAGCTGCTCCTCAGAAACCCTATACAGGGTTGTTATGAGTTAGAACCAACTCAGTGGCACTTACCAACAATAAGTGTAGCTAAAGGTTTGTCAATTTTACTGATCTTTTTGAAGAATCAACTTCTGGTTTTATTGACTATTGTTTTTCTATTTTCTATTCTATTTGCTTCTGTTCTGATTTTTGTTATTTCCTTTCTTCTGGTAGGTGTAGACTTAGTTTGCTCTTCTTTTTCTGGCTCCTGGAGTTGTTAAGTTGAGTTGAGCTCTTTCTTCTGTTTCCACATAGGCATTTTTTGCTATAAGTTTCCCTCAGAATACTGCTATCACTGCATCCCATAAATTTTGGGCTATTGTAGCTCCATAGGGTTTTTATGATTGATCTATTTGGAAGTAGATTTCCACGTCTTTATTCTGAAGTACCTCTGGTGGCCTTGAACCTCCAACCTTTCAATTTGTAGCTGAGTACACTGTTTACACCATCCAGGAAATCGTTTTTCTTCTTCACCATCATCCATTCCCACAGTTCCACCATTGACTTCATCACCTGATCTAGATGCTGCCAAGGCTGATCCTTACATAGACATTTGCTGCATGTCCCAGGTACCTCCCCACTGCTACAGGAAGCCCCTCTCAGAGCAAGGAAGAGGAGTTGCCTCACCTCCTTCCTTCCTTCTGTTATCAGTGGAGTGACCCACAGGGCTGCCGTGGGGATAAGAGCCAGAGATGGAGACCAGTACTCCCCTCCCTACCCCCATGGATTTCAGCCAGAGTAGCTTCTCATTTTATCTACCTCACATATTGGGCATCCACAAAACATTTTGTTTAAACAAAGGGAGTTGATTGCTAAGTTTTTTATGTAGCTAAATTAAGTTTATGTCTATGACTCTGGTCCAGTTTCACCAAAGACCCAGAGACTAAACATGGCTTTTGTCAAGGACAAAGAAGGCCCAGCTAAGATTCCCAGGTTTTTGTTGTTCCTACCCCATCCTCTTTCCTGGTTGCTAGAGTTGAGAGTTGAGGGTGAGGCAGGTGACATTTGGGGAAGGATCAGGGAGAGGGCATAACAGCAACTGGGCAGGTTTCTAAGCACTTGAAATCAAAGATCCAATTTAATATGGAAAGTAGATTTAAATTTAAATAAAAAATATAAAACATGTGGCAAGTTTCCAAGTAAAATGTTAATTGTAATGCATATTTTACTATTATCTGGATAAGCAGGAATTTTGTTCTGTTGTGCATAGGGACGCGATGAGTCAGTACCAACTTGATGGCACTTAACAACAAGAGGTTTTCTGATAAGAAACTAAAGCACAGACGGGATCAGGGTGTTAAGGGACAATGGCTCTTGCCTGGAAGAGACATGGACATCAAAGGAAAGGCATCTTTCCATAATCCATTCAAGGAACATGCCTGTGGACTCCCACAGGTTAGATGCCAGGGAAAGAGATGAACAAGAGATGAACAAGAAGAGTAAGATACAGACTCTAAGACTCCAGGGTCCCAGGCCTGACAGCCATGACTAATCTGTCAGTTTGTCATACTGTGGTGGTGTGCAGGTTGCTGTGATTCTGGAAGCTATGCCACTGGTATTTTAAATACCATCAGGTCACCCATGGTGGACAGATTTCAGCTAAGCTACCAGACTAAGAAGAAGGAGAGGCAAACTACTTCTGAATATTTAGCCACTGGAAACCTTATGAATAGTAGTGGAACACTGTCAGTTATAGTACCGGAAAATGAATATATTATGAATTTGTTGTTGTTAAGTACTGTGGAGTCGGTTCCAACTCATAGTGACCCTGCACAGGGTTTCCAAGGCTACAAATCTGTACAGGAGCAGAAAGCCTCATCTTTCTCCCATGGAACAGCTGGTAGTATTGAACTGCTGACCTCGAGGTTAGGAGCCTGATTCGTAATCACTATGCTACCAGAGCTCCTTATATTATGAATAGCACCAGAATATTGTCAGTTATAGTGCTGGAACATGAGCCCCTCAGGTTGGAAGGCACTCAAAATGTGAATGGGGAAGAGCTGCCTCCTCAAAGTAGAGTTGACTGTGATGATGAAATGGAGTAAAGCTTTCAAGACCTTCATTTGCTTATGGGGCACAACTCAAAATGAGAAGAAATATCCACTAATAATTGGAACATGGAATGTGCACAGTATGAACCTAGGAAAACTGGAAGTTGTCAAAAATGAAATGGAACCCATCAATAGCCTAGGCATTACTGAGCTGAAATAGACTGGTATTGGTCATTTTGAATCTGACAGTCCTATGATTTACTATGCCAGGAATGAACAATTGAAGAGGAATAGCTTTACCTTCATTATCTAAAGGAACATATCAAAGTCTGTCTTGAAGCACAGTACTGTTTGTGATAGGATAATATCCATAAGCCTACAGGGAAGACCAGCTAATACCACTATTAGTCAAATTTACACACTGATCACTAAAGTTAGTGATGATGAAATTGAAGAATTTCATTTTCAATGAAATTGCTAAAGATGCATTGATAAATACTGATGAATGGAGTGCGAAGGTTGGAAACAAAAGTTGGAAAATACAACCTTGGTGATAGAAATGATGCTGGCAATCACATAACAGAATTTTTCAAGACCAGTGACCTATCCATTGGAAATTCCTATTTGAAACAACAAAACAGAAGACTATTCACATGGACCTCACCAGATGAAGTAACAGAAATCAAATTGACAGCATCTGTGGGAAGAGATGGTGAAAAACTTCAATGCCATCATCCAAAACAAGGCCAGGCAGACTGTGGAACAAACCATCAATTGCTCATATGCAAGTTCAGACTGAAGCTGAGGAAAATTTAAACAAGTCAACGAGAACCAAAATATGACCTTGAACATATCCCACCTGAATTTAGAGACCATGTCAAGAACAGATTTGATGCATTAGACACCAATGACCAAAGACCAGAAGAGTTATGGAATGACATCAAGAACATTATACTGGAAGAAAGCAAAAGATCATTAAGAAGACAAGAAAGAAAGAAAAGACTAAAATGGATGTCAGAAGAGACTCTGAAACTTGCTTTCCTGCATAGAGATGCTAAAGCAAAAGGAAGAAACAAGGAGGTGAATTGTGCAAGCTGAAAGAATTGAAGAAAAAATTCATACCTCTACTTGAAATATTGAAGGATTTTATGGGCAAAATATTGAATGATATAGAAAGCATCAAAAGAAGTTGGAAGGAATACACAAAATCATTGTACCAAAAAGAAGTAGTCAGTGTTCACCCATTTCAAGAGGTATACTGCATAGGATCGAGAGCCAATGGTACTGAAGAAAGAAGTTCAAGGTGCACTGAAGGCACTGGCAAAGAACAAGGCCCCAGGAATTGATGGACTAGAAATTCAAATCTTTCAACAAACTGAGGCAGCACTGGAGGCACTCACTCATCTATGCCAAGGAATTTGGAAAACAGCTACCTGGCCAACTGATTCGAAGAGATGTGGTCAAAGAGAGGTGACCTAATGGAATGTGGAAATCATCTGATACCATCATTAATGTCACATGCAAGTAAAATTTTGCTAAAGATAATTTAAAACGACTGCAACAGTACATTGACAGGGAACTGCTAGAGGCTCAAGCCAGATTTAGATGAGGATGTGGAATGAGGGATATCATTGCTGATGTCAGATGGATCATAGCTGAAAGCAGAGAATACCAGAAAGATGTTTACCTATGGTTTATAGCTATGCAAATGCTTTCAACTGCATGGATCACAATAAGCTATGGACAACATTGAGGAGAATGAGTATTCTGGGACACTTAATTGTGCTCGTGAGGAACTTGTACACAGACCAAGAGGCAGTAGTTTGAACAGAACAAGGGGACACTGGATAGTTTAAAATCAGGAAAGTTGTGTGTCAGGATTGTATTTTTTCACCATATTCATTCAGTCTGTATGCTGAGCAAATAATCCGAAAAGCGGAATTATATGAAGATGAATATGGCATCAAAATTGAAGGAAGATTCATTCATTAACAACCTGTGATATGCAGATGATACAGTCTTGCTTGCTGGAAGTAAAGAGGACTTTAAATACTGGAAAATCAAAGACCATAGTATGGACTGTACCTGAATGTAAAGAAAAAAAAATCCTCACAACAGGGCCAATAAATAACATCATGGGGAAAAGATTGAAGCTGTCAAAGACTTCAGTTTGCTTGGATCCACTATCAATTCTCATGGAAGCAGCAGTCAAGAAATCAAATGACATACTGCATTAAGCAAATTTACTGCACAAGCCTGCTTTAAAGTGTTTACAAGCAAAGATTTCAGTTTGAGGACTAAAGTGCACCTGACCCAAGTCATGGTACTTTCAGTAGCCTCATGTGTATGTAAAAGTTGGACAGTGAATAAGGAAGACCATAGAAAAATTGGTGCATTTGAGTCATGGTGTTGCAGTAGAATATTGATAGTACCATGGACTTCCAGGAACTAAAAACAAAAACCAAAAATCTGTGTTGGAAGAAGTACAGACAGAATGCTCTTTAGAAGTAAGGGTGGTGAGACTTTGTCTCTCATACTTCTGACATGTTATCAGAAAGGGCCAGTCCTTGGAAAAGTGGAGGGTCAGTGAAAAGGAAGAAGACCCCCAATGAGATGGAGTGGCATGGTGGCAGCAACAATGGGCTCATGTGTAACAACAATTGTGAGGGTGCTGCAAGGCCTGATAGTGTTTTGTTGTGTTGTGTACAGGATCATTGAGTCAAAACTGACTGTTGTGTACAGGATCGTTGAATAAGAACTGACTTGACAGTGCCTAACAACAGGCCTGAGAGAGGAAGAGGCCAGAGAAGGATAGCCCTCAACTGGGTCTATGAGGAGATGGCCACATGCAGCTGTGGACACTCCTTCTTGCCCAGAACACTGACTAACAAGATCCAACTCCCTGAAGGTGCTCTGGGAGGCCCATCCCAACAGCTTCCTAAAGCTAGTTCTCTACCCACAAGGGGAAACTTATTGGATTTACTTCATGACCCTCTCAGTCTTAGCACAAGGCTGGGCCCAGGGAAAGTGTTCCATAAATGTTTAAAGAATAAATGTATAAAATACTATTGTATGTCTAAGACTGGCTGAGGTTATATGATCAAGAATTTAAAAGATCCTGCTTTGGGGGCAGAACAGAATGGGGTATGAAGGGAAGTATGAAGGTATAGGAGATATTTTCAGTATCTGTGTCCTGCAGACGATCTCCGGGAGATCAAATAGCTCAAGGAGCCCTGGTGGTGCCATGGTTAACAGAAAGGTTGGAGGTTCAAACCCACATAGCAGGAAGAAAGACCTGCCAATCTGTTTCTGTAAAAATTACAGCCTAAGAAACCCTCTGGGGGAAGTTCTAACTCTGTTACTTGGGGTTGCTGTGAGTTAAAATCGACTCCACAGTACCTAACAACAATAGCAGATGATCTCAGAGTTAGAAGCATCTAGAAATCGCATCTCAGTGGGAGGGGACACACTTGAAGGACTGGTTCCTAGAAAGGAAGTAAATAGCTATGTTCTCCCAGGCAAGTGGGCACAGATTGAGATTGGCTTCCAGACACACAATGACAGGCCCCCATCCTCAGAAGCTCCTGGTAGACACAGACAACACCCTGCTGCACCAGCACCAGCACCAGTCGGGAGCATGGGGTGCAGAAACTCAGCTGCTGTGCAAGGAGGTGGAGGGGCGGAGGCTGGGGTGGGGCTCATACTTTCAGCAGGATGGAGGAGGTGGGAAAGAGTGGTAGAGGAAAGGGGGCGAACGTAGGGTGGCAGCACTCTGGGAAGGGGAGGACTCAGGGCCACATGGGGAGGAACCTTCATCCTCCAGAAGAAGCCACAGAGAGCCATGGAGAAAGGAACTATGGTAGTGTTAGCAGAGCCTGGGGAAAGATGTGGAGAAGAGGCCCTGCAGGGGCCACAGGAAGGCAGTTCTTACAAACTGGAAGGGGCTCAGGGAGTTTAACAGAGAGCGGATGCTGAAGCAGATGAGGGAGCACAGGACCAGGAGGGGCCTCACCAGATCTAGATTGAGAGGGCATAGCCTCAGAACCCCTGAAGACATCTGCTTTCACAATTGGATACTCCCTTTGTTAAGAGGCACCAGCCCTGATGGTGCATTGGTTAAGTGCGAGACACCAGCTGCTCCATGGAGAGAAGATGTGGTAGTCTGCTTCCGTGAAGATTACAGCCTTGGAATCCCTACAGGGCAGTTCTGTTCTGTGCTGCAGGCTCACTGTGAGTTGGAATGGACTCAAAAGCAACAAGCTTGGTTTTGTTTTTTGCTTATAGGAGGAGTCCCCGGATGCTACAAACAATTAATACACTCAGCTATTAATGGAAAGGTTAGATGTTCAAGTCCAGCCAGAGGCACCTTGGAATAAAGTCCTGGCAATTTATTTCTAAAAAAAATCAGTTGTTGAAAATACTATGGAGGACTGTTCTAATCTGACACATATGTGTTGCCATGAGTCGGGTTGACTTGGTGGCAATAGCTGGTAGTTGCTTAGAGACGGGAACAGACAGGCTCTTGCCTTGGCCTTTGAGTTGGGCATTAGCACTGAGGGGGAGAGGAGGTTGCCCGGATGGTGGTGGGGTTTTCTTCTCACCTTGAAGAGCTGGACACCAACACAGGCAAATATGAACTGCAGGAGGGTAGTGACCAGGACGATGTTCCCAATGGTGCTGATGGCCACAAACACACATTGCACCACGTGCTGGGGAAGAAAGAAGAGGGCATGGGGGGTGGGGCAAGTCCACATTGATCCCCACCCCCGGCTATCCCAGCCAAGTGCTGCCTCTTAGCTGGAAAGAAGGCTTATGGGGAAACAAGGCTGTCCCAGACTCATCTTTAACCCCATCTAGACTGAAGACAAGGAGTTCTGGTAATGTAGCGGTTATGAATTGGCCTGCAAATCACAAGGTCAGCAGTTCAAAACTACCAGCTGTTCCGCGGGAGAAAGATGAGGCTTTCTGTTCCCGTAAAGATTTACAGCCTAGGAAACCCTGTACAGGGTCGCTACAACAGACTGAAGACAGGACGGCACCTCAACTCTCATGGTTCCTGCAGCCAGGTGCCAGTAGGCCCACTCTTTCCTCTCCCCAGGGTACTGCCCCAGCACCACACTCACCTTCAGCCCTTTGGCTCTGTTGATGGCTCGGAGGGGTCGGAGCACCCTCAGCACCCTCAAGATCTTCACCACAGAGATGGTGCTGGACCTGGAGGAGACAGCAGTGGGCTGAGGCTACGGAGCACTCCACCCGCCTCCTGCCTCTAGCTCTGCTCACACAGGTTAACTTTCTGCCTGGAGACATGTCCATCTTCCCCTGCTCATTCCCTCAGACTGCATGCATGAGTGCCTGTTATTGTAAGCTGCCTTTGAGTTGGTCCCTGACTTATGGAGACCCCATGCACGATGGAATAGAAAGCTGCCCATTCCTGCGCCACCCCCGCGATCAGTTGCTGAGTAGACTATTGTGATCTGTAGGGTCTTCACTGGCTGATGTTCAGAAATAGATCACAAGGCCTTTCTACCTAGCATGTGTTCCTACCCCAGGGTAAAGAACCCTCCTGATTTCACAGCCAGAGCTCTCTTCTGTGTGCTATGCTGCACTATGAGAGCTTCGTCTCTGAGTGAGCAGAGCCTCAGTCCCATCAGATTGGAAGCTGCCCCAAGGCAGGGCTGTGATGTTCATGAGATAGCTGGGGGCTGCCTTCTCTTCCCTGGACCCCCCTTCATTGTTGCCAAAAGAATTCTATTCACTTAGCAATGCTATTGCAGTCCAGCTGGTGAGAACATCTCCCCTTCCTACTGACCAATGGCCCTGAGAGGCCCTCCTCTAGCAGCATGGGGCCCACCAATAATGGGTGGTTGGGACTTCTGAGGCCCTGGAATGGAGTGGAGGGGAGTGGAGGGGCTCTATGCCCAGGCTGGCCCCTGTCACTGCTCACTCAAGTCCCATGGAGATGAGGGACACAGCCACCACCAGCAGGTCCAGGATGTTGAAGTAGTTCCGGCAGAAAGAGCCCTTGTGCAGGATGGCACCGAAAGTTATCATCTGGGGAAAGAGGGAGAAGCAGCCTCCTGGGCGGCCTGTAGCCATCCCTGTAGTATCCCCTATTAATGAATGCATGTGTTATTCTGCTGTGCACCTGTGCTGTCCCTGCTAGCTTTCTCTAATGAAATCCTAACCAGCTTGCAGGCTCATCTCTAATGTCACCACTGGCATGAAGTCCTCTTAGAGCTGGGGGAAGCTGCTATCTCCTGGTGCACAACTCCTTTAACCATCAAGGTCCTGAATAAAGGATTTTCAATGATTTTACACCATAGCCCAGTCCTGGGTTACAGCTACTGTGTCTCCTCCTCATTCATGGCGTGAAGGTTGGGCTGTGCCATAGACAAGTCCTCCCAGCTCCACCCAGAGCCCCATGAAGGCCTGAACCTGCACTCCCATCTAAAGCTTGGGTAAGCAGTAGGCTGCTGTGGGGCAGGACCTGCGAGGGCCGTGAGAGGGCAGAGCCTTTAGAAATCCAGTCACTTCTCTGAGATTCCTAGAGAGAGAGGTCCTTCCAGCCGTTAGTAATGGGGGTCTAGGGACAACTCACAGCTCCCCAGGTCTACTCGTAAGCGTTCTGCCTTCCATATGGAAGAAGGAGGCTAAGGCTTCACAGACATGGGGTGTACTCTACTGAGAGGTGGGCAATCTCCAGGTTGGTTGTGCGTCACATATCCACCCAACCACCCACTCATTCCACCTAATGAGCTGACAGTCAATCTGGCCTCCTGGGCCCCACGAATCTTTTTGTCCAGCCCTTCGTCTTTACCATGCTCTTCCCCACCTCTGCCAAGCTCAGCCCCTGAGTGAGTAAGAGGGAGCCACATCAGGGAGGGTCTTGTTCCCTGGCCCACAGCTGTCCCAGAGCCTTCACTCACCTTGAGGACAATCTCCACAGTGAAGACAGAGGTGAACACAATGTCAAAATACTCAAGAATCTGAGGAGAGGGTGGGGGACCAGAGAAGAGGAGAGAGACCCAGTGAGAGGAAGGGCAGACCAATGGCATCCTCCTCTTCCTCAAACACTGGGCAGGGAGAGCTGTCTGTGCAGCCTGCTGTGACATCAGAAGGAGTAGACGGAGCAGTCTGGGACCTCCAGTAGTTTAAGCTCTAGGAAACCCTGAAGTGAACCAGCAGGGGGCGTGCCACCATCACCTGGTTCCTGACAGACTTTGCCCTGATGGGGTCCTCAGCAGCTAGCGCAGCACTGCTGAGCAGGATGAAGAGCAGGATGAAGTTGGTGAACCACGTGGCGTTGACAGTGCGGTGACATAGGACACGGAGCCTGGGGGAGTCAGGGGAGCTGTGAGCTTCTGTCCTGCAGAGGGACACTGGGCCCCCTATTCTCGCCTCCCCTGTGTCAGTGAAGTATTGCTTTACATCTGGATGGACCTCTGTCCCTGGTTCCTGCAGCCAAGCCTCTATACCACCTGTCCCCCCCACTTAACATCCCACCACCACCCTGATACCTCTCATGGACAGACTCCTCTACCCATGAGGATGGCAGCTAAATCTTTGCAAAGACTATATGTTGTTGTTGTTATGAGCTGTTGTGTCAGTTCGGATGCATAGTGACCTTGTAGAGGGTTTCCAAGGAATGTCTGGTGGATTGAAACACCAATCTTGAGGTTAACAGTCCAGTGCTTAGTCTACAGCACCACACTAGAACTCTGAAGACTATATAGTCTATGTGTATTTTGAAGTGTAAATTTGTGAAGCCACTAAAAACGACAGCGTATGCTTTTCGACTCTTTCTCATCTCTTCTTACTTGCCTCCCCTCCTCCTAGCTTCTGGCCACATTCATTGTCCTCTTACTTTCTCTGTCTAAAACTGTCCTCTTCTGTGTAAGTAACAAAGTTTGAATCATGCTAGAGATACTAGCATTTCAAACAGACTCTCAAGCTAAAGGAATGAACCATCAGTGGTTGCAGACACTTAGAGGAAAGCAGACTCTTCAGGATGGAGAAGCAGGCCTCTCTGAGAGCTCCCCAAATCCCACCCACAGCCTTGGCAGGTACCACCCACTTATTGGTGGGGCTGAAGATGAAGAAGGAGCTGGCTTCTGGAATGGGCACTGCCTTCTCTTTCAGCTGCAGCTCAGCCAGGGGGCGTGGTCGGGGGCTCACTGGGATCTCAGGCTCATCTTCCTCATCATCCCCTGTGGGGTGACAGGGAGAAATAAATGGGGGGTGTCTTCTCATATTTTGTTGCTTCCCTAGTTTCTGTGTTCAGAGCCCTCCTATGAGTACCCACATCCAGCACACAGTCAGACCCAGGCATCTTCTTGTCTCCCTCCCCTTAGCCAACAGGTTTGAGTGGTCAGGAGAGATGGAGAATACCCAGAAACTTCCAGAAACGGGACCAGGAGTGAGGCCAAGAAGCCTGGCTGCTGGATCTTCTGTTTCAGGGCCAGACTTGTACTGCCTCAAATCTCCTAAGCGGGGCCAAGGGGTAGACCTTCTCATTTCAGGTGAGAAGACCTGAGTTCTACTCCAGGCTCTGCCACTAACTACTATGTAATGAGGCTCTTCCCCTTCCTGAACTTCCTTTTGCCAATTTGTGAAACTGACACTAGGTAGGAAGAATATTGGAATAAATGGACTCTGACAGTTCAAGCTCACCAGCCACTCCTTTGAAGCCCTATACCGACTCAACGGCACCTAACAACAACAACAATGTCCTTTCTTGGGCTCGGATTCTAAAAGTAATCATTTCAGAGAGGAATTTCCAGCATGAAGAAAATATCAATGTTTCTTAAGCTTCAGCCAGCCCCCAGGGAGGTGAGTGTGGGTGTGGGGCATGGTTAGTAGTAGAGGAGGGGGAGATAGATGCTCCAAGTATATTGCAGGGTCTCATAGCCTTGAGGAGAAGCTGGGTGCCTGAAGTCCTCAGCTCCAGGGTGGGAGGAAATTTAGTGATCACACTGGGGAGCCTTGTCTAATATTGGGGTACCCTACCTCGTATAGGTGCTGTCCAGTCCTTGGCTCCTTTAGCCCGACCACACTGTCTCCTCTCTATCCCCTGGCTGGCCCTAGCCTTCCATGGTCATTTTAAACTGAAGGAGACCTATAGGTAATATCCCTCCAGCTTGGCAGTCTGCAGTCTTAGGGCTCTCAACTCTACCCAGATCACTTGTCCACATTGCCTGTTCTCAAGGAGCTGGAATGCTTCCTTCTTCCTCAGGGTAAGCATAATGATACAATATTCTCATCTTACCTGCTCTGTCAGACCCCAGAGGCACGTGATATGCTTAATTATCCCACTCACTGTCATCAAGTGGATTGTGGCTTCTGAGGCTATAAATCTTTACGGGAGTGGAAAGCTTCCTCTTTCACCCAAGGAACGGCTGGTGGATTCGAACTGCTGAGTTTACAGTTAGAATCACAGGGACTATTAAATCTTAGGGTTAATTTATTTGTTTTCTTATCTCTCTTAGTTCTTACTTCCTAAGTCTGTGTACATTCTGTTACTTTTACTGCACATATCTTTAATTGTAAGCCATTTCAAATTCTTTTTGGAGGAAGCAGGCTATAAATAAATATATTCAATTGCCTTGGTAAGGCATCTCTTCCAACTTCCCACCCCCTAGCCCCTCTCCCCTCCTGACTTCTTTCCAACCTTCCCCTCCCTCTAAAGGCCTCATCTGGAAGGACCTGGGTTTTCTTAGTCAGCTCCCCTCCCCTGACACCAGTCTGTCTAATAAGATGATGGCTCTTAGATGAAATGATTTAAGAGAAATTATTCTAAAGCCCGAATATGCATTACTGGCAGACAGACTTCCAATGTTACTCATTTTGTCTACACCAGCTTTTTCTCCCTCACTCCACTTTGCAAAATCATTTACTCAGCACTGAGATGTATATAGCACAGAAAGTCCCTTTGGAGCTTTGGGTCACTGGAGAAGACATACGAATCAGCTGATTCCACACTAGATGTAAAGAGGCGCCAGTGACACAAAGCTCTCCAGGACCCATGAGGGAGCACCTTTAGGCACCAGGGCATTTTCTTCCAGACGGCCTTTTAAGATAAGTGCAGCCTGGACCTGCTTACTTCAGTTTGTTGCTCTGCTTGAATAGCAGTTTCTGCCACAGCCGCTGGTTAATTGCATTGAGGTGCTTGTGTATTACCCATCCTTTTGCTATTCCCTTGCTACCTCCTTCTTTTAGATTTCCCCACAATGCCAGTCATGGTTCTATTCATCCCAAGCCCAAGTCCTGCCTGGTATGGTGACTAATCTATCCCATCTCCAGCATGTCTTCCTTTACCATCTGCCCCGGGTGATTGGGGTGGAAGATGTGTGTGCTCACAAGTCTCTCTGCTCCTTGAAAACAGTCCTCAGCACTGAAGCACAGAGCTGCCACTCAATAAATACTTGCTGAATTACATGGAAATGAAGTGTGCAGATTTTTCTACTGTGTGTGTTCTTGGTGAGGCTGGTTATGGAATGACTTATTTGCAATGCAAAGTTCAGGATAAAGGTCTCCAGAGATTTGAACTCTTCATGGAGGGATTGACGCTGGTGGCGAGGGGGAGAATACACAAGAGATGGTCCCTGAGGAAAATTCAACATCAGCATTGCTGTTGTTGCTAGCTACAAGGCCCACACACAATGAGATTAGACCCTTGAGATCCCTAAGGTTTTCATTGGCTGATTTTTGGAAGTAGATTGCTGTTTTTTTCTCCCTTTCTCCTAGTCCATTTTAGTCTGGAAGCTCAGCGTCCACTGACAGACAGGTGGTGACTGAGCAGGGGGTGCACTAACCAAAGATTGAACTCTCTGGTCTCCTGCATGAAATGTGAGAATTCTTCCATTGAACCACTACTGCTCCCCAGCACACTTTCTGCGCTAGCCCAGGCTTAAGGACCCTCACCTGGGAAGTCAGCCGAGGGATAAGGATCCTTCACCTCATTAACGTTAGATTCAAACTCATCAATTTTCAGCTGTAGGAAGAAGCACACTGAAGATTAGGTATGACCACAAAACGTTTACTTTCCATTTATTGAGCATTTGTTGGAAGACCGATGTGGGCTTCACCTCATTTAATCCTCCTATAGCCTGAGAGATAGATAACAGTATGATCATACCCATTTTACAAATGAGAAAGGCCTCGAAGAGCCAGACAATTCATCCAGGCTACCAGGTGGCCGGAAGGACTCCTGGTGTTGTGCTGCAGGATTATGTGCTGGACTGTAAGGTCAGTTTGAACCATAAGGTCTGTGGTCCAAACTCACCAGACACTCCTTGGAAACCCTATACAGGGTTGCTATGGGTTGCAACCAACTCAACAGCACTTAACAACCACAGCCAGGTGGCAGACTGGAGCTTGAGCCTGTCTTCTCTGTACCCTGCTTGGCTCTCCAGAAGACAGCTGAGCTCCCCAGACCAGTCTTCTCAGACTCTCTGGAACCCAATTCCCTGACTTTTTCACCTCTATTGCCTCAGCTTCTAGGAAAATGAATGGAACCCGCCTGGAATAAGTAGGGTGTGGCTGGAATTGGTGGGAGTAGTACATCGGGGTCCTTCAGAAACAGTATGTGTCAGGCTGGAAACCTTCTTGCTCTGGGATGGGAAGCTGAGACGTTGAAGAGGAAGGCTAGTCCCAGTTCTGGGGCATCTGTGCTTCTTGGTAGAAAGGAATCTTTAGAGGAGCTGAGCCACTAGCTCACCCTCTGCTTACAGCGGAGGTGAATGCCCTCACCTCCCTTAACTTCCCACCCCACCCACCAGCACCTTAGAGCACAGGGATGAAGCAGGAGACTTCCAGGGTCTCCCTATCCTACCTCTGAAAGCATTCCACATGATATGCTCACCTTGGCAGTGGTGGGGATGCCTTCACCCTTGGGTTTTTGTTCCAGCTTCTTGGCCAATATTGACTTCTCTTCCTCTGACTTGTCTGGGAGACCCCTAAGTCAGAAAACCAAGGAAATCCAAGGTGGAGGTCCAACCAGAAAGTTCTGGTGGATTCTGCTCAGACTGATTATACCCTCAGGAAGACCCTCCACCAAATGCTCAGGGTACTCTGTGAAGAAAGGACCACTCCAGGCCACCCAGGCTGAGGACACAGGACTCACCTGGACATCTTCCTGCGTTTTCTCTCCTCAGCCTTGGCCTTCTGGGCAGAAGTCAGGGTCTCCGCCTCTGCTAGGTTGTCCACAGCAATGGCCAGGAAGACGTTGAGCAGGATGTCTGAGGGGATCCAGCTAAGGAGCCTCAGGTGGTGGCTGACTGACAGGGCAGCCTCTTGAACAGGCGTACCTCACTGTGAGTTGACATCCCCTCCATGAAGCCCCTCTTTCCTGAGCTTCCCCACTCACCTGAGGAGGGTGCCTGTGATGGGGCTTAAATCCACTATGGCCTTTGAATCCCTTTCATTTCCTGCTCAGAACTGATCCCAGCTCCACCCCCTACTCCACCCTCCCAGGGAGGGGGCTATGTATGAGGCCAGAGAGTCGCTGAAAGCTAGACCCATGCTCAGCACACACATGATCTTGGCATACATGTGAGCTCAATGTGTACCAAACCCATCTCCTCACTACCTAGGATATCAGATTCCAAGGTGCCTGGGACACATCCACCTCACCCTCCCATCTCATCTCTTGGCCTGCCCTTGCTCAGACTGCCTCGTCCTAGAACTCAAACTAACCACCCCTGGCCGCAAGACCCTGCCAGCCTCCAAACTTTGGCACCAGATTGTCCCACTATCTTCCCTGTTCTCACACAAGACCCATCCTCCCTCTACCTGTCCTATGTTAAACACACTTCTGAGATTAATTCCTCCCACGCCTGTGACTCTCCAGCCTTCAGGATGGGAAAAGTTATCCTATAGCTATACCTGCATTTGTTATGTTTTATCCTCTACCCATAAGGAGCTCTGGTAGCATAGTGGTTATGAACCGGGCTGCGAATTGCAAGGTTAGCAGTTCGAAACTACCAGCCATTCCTTGGGAGGAAGATGAGGCTTTCTGCTCCTGTAAAGATTTACAGCCTCAGAAACCCTGTACAGGGTTGCTATGAGTCGGAACCTACTCCACAACACATAACAACAACAACAATCCTCTACCCATGAGCCTGGGTGCTCCCTTCCAGTAAGAGCACCTGGCTACCTGAAAAGTGGGCACCTTTGACCTTTTTCAGTCCCATTTCCTACCTCCGTCACTGGGCTCTTTTTCATACCCAGCTCCCAAAGGGATACAGTTGCCACAGACGAAAAGGATGATGAAATAAATGCAAACAAGCATGCCAGGGTAGGATGGCCCACCATAGGCCATGATCCCATTGTACATCATTGAGGTCCAGTCTTCCCCCGTCAGCACCTGGAAGAGGGAAGAGTGTAGGTGTTGGTAGAAACACAGGGTAGAAACTGAGGATCATCTGTTGGGACTGCATTATCCAAAGGCCTCTTTTACCTGTTGAATTTCCCCCAGAACTTTCCCCTCCCTACCTTCTCATCCCTGGGTCCAAAACACATGGTCCCTTCTTCCTCATTGTACCTCTTTCAATGATCTCAAGGATCAAGAAGTCTGTGTAATCATCACTTTCCTGGCCACTGCCCCCAATCCTCAGGCTTAAATGAACCGCCCCACCCAGGCTTCCTGTCATTCAGGATGTGTTGCCCATTCACTGAAGCAAATGGGAAAAAGAGCATGAAGCTCTCCCCTGGTAGCACTAGGTGGTATCACTGGACATAGGTACTGGCTACAACAGAAAAGAGCATTTCCTATGGTCTACGACTTGACAGCACTTAACAACAACACAAAGAAATCCCTGCCGCCAGGAGTTCCTGGCTGGGAAAGCCTCTCAGAGAGTCATAAACATGCTCCCTTTCATGGGTGAATTTTAGTGGACGATTGGCCAAGCCATACTTCCTGTCTGAGATAAGGCTTCCCTTGTCTGACTGTCCACAGAGATGTCCTCAGAAGATGCACTCCTCTGCACTTGCAACCCACCCCAAATCCATTCATTCATGAAAGGTCTGATAAGTCCCATTGTGGGCCAGCACTGTGTTAGTCACCAGGAGTAAAGACAAGTATGAGTAAAAAACATTGGGCCCAGTGCCTAGTCTTAGGAGCTCTGTGTTCTGAGATGGAGACAGATCTACAGTGATTACACAGATGATAAGGAAGCCTAGAGAGAGAGACTGAAGCCAGTGGATAAAGGAAGACTTCCTGGAGGAGGTGAGTCCACTGGAATCTTGAAGGACAGGGAAGAAGAAGAGGCATGCAGGCTAACAGCTTACCTGGAAGACGCTGATGAGCGCCTGAGGGAAGTTATCGAAGTTGCTGCGCCGCTCCTCTGTGTCCTCGAAGTCGTATCTGCCCCCAAAGAGCTGCATGCCCAGCAAGGCAAAGATGGTGATGAAGAGGAAGAGGAGCAGCAGCAGGGAGGCAATGGAACGGATGGAATTGAGCAGGGATGCTACCAGGTTGCTCAGGGACGTCCAATATCTGAAGGAAGAGCAAGCAAGACAGGAGGAGGTGGGCCTCTCACACTGGGCTCTGTGAAGTCTAGGTGGACTTGGGAAGGACTGATGGATCAAAGGGAGAAGGAGCTAGCTGTCTGGGGGCTGCAAGCCCTTGAATTCATGGTTGCCTTGCCCACTAGTTTCTTCCTCCGGAGCACTTGCCTCTGTTTACGATTCTGCATTTGTTAGGAGGACTGTTGATAGGTTCTAGTTCCACTATTGACTATAAACTCCATGAGATTAAGAGTCACTTCTTTCTTGTGTCCCCTGTGCCTAGCAGTGCTTGGCTCACAGTAGAGCTCAACAACCCTCTGCATCCTCATCATTGATGGGGTCTGAGTTTGCGAATTCGCCTACTTGCTCATTTACTTGTTATCCTCAATACTCCTAGCACTTTCTCGGTCCTTTTCAAACATGCAGAAAGGAGAAAAATCTGAACTGCCCAACGTACACGTTCCCGACTGAGGTCGAACAGGATGATGCTCTGCTTTCCTATTTTAGCTCTCCTAATGTGCCAGACTGCAAAGCCATTTGAACTGCAAGGTCGGCGATTCAAGCTCACCAGCTGCTCCTCGGAAACCCTATACAGAGTCCCTATGGGTTGGAATTGACTCGACTGCACTTAACAACAACAACAACAACAACTGTTAACAAGTACCTTTGCAGCAGTCTGTTAAGTGCAACACTTTTGTGCTTTTTGTTGAGGATCTCGCTGTTTAAAAGGGCCCTCAAGCATAGTGATGAAGTGCTGTCAAGTATTCCTAAGCACAAACAAGGCTGTGACGTGCCAAATGTGCGCTAGATAAGCTTCATTCTGGCATGGGTTGTAGTGTTGTTGATGAGAATCCAATGCTAATAAAAGCAACAATATATGTTCAATAAGGTGCTTAAACTTTAAACAGAAACACACATAAAACAAGCTTATGTACTGATGTAGTGACAAACATGTCATGACCGACCAGCGACTTGCAGCAACCTAACCCTTTACTTTTCTTAAGAGCAATGGCACAGTTTTCGTTAACACTGTGTTGGCAGGTATTTTTATAAAACCTAACTCCTGCGAATAACAAAAATAGTCTGTACGTGCAAATAAACAAATGCCTCTTCTTTTCCCTTACTTCCTCTTATCTTTGTTCTCCTTGTTTTCTTTCTTTCGCCCCCATTCCTACTTCTCTTCCCTTTTCATCTCATCTGCCTTTTCCTTTTCTCTCCCAGTCTTTTCTTTGCTCTTTTCCACTCTCTCCTGCCTTGCCATCAGGCAATGGTAACAGGAGAGAAAGAAGATAGAGAAATGAGGTCAGAGGGGAAAAAGTAATTTCTCTTCTGGAGAGCGAGGTTAGCTCAAGGTTAACTCAAACCATGGTGTGTGCGGTCCACTGTCCTCACTTGGTGATCTTGAACAGTCTCAGCAGGCGGATGCAGCGGAGCACAGAGATGCCCAGGGGCGTCATGGCGCCTGACTCCACCAGCAGGATCTCCAGGATGCCGCTGCAGACCACGAAGCAGTCAAAGCGGTTGAAGATGGACATGAAGTACTGGCGTAAGCCCAGCCCGTACATCTTCATCAGCATCTCGATGGTGAAGAGTGTCAGCAGCACCCGGTTGGCAACATCTGTGGGATTGAAAGAGTTGCCTCTTCCTGCCTTTGAGCAGCTGCTTTGGCTAATCCCCAAACCCAGTACCCCAGGTTTCCAAGGCCTCAGAGTCCTGTAAAACCTGTGAGTTTTTGCCTGTGGGAGGAACACCAATCTAAAAGGTTGAACCATAGCATATTAATAAGAAAAGCGTTACATTTGTATTCAAGTGTCCTAAGCTCCGTGGGCCACTCCCTGTTCAGCGTACACCTCCCTCTCTTGGGCTAGAAGAGGAATCCCTCCACCTAACCAAAGCCATTGTGTTCTTCTAAACTTTAGGTCCTGTCTCAGAAACCCTGTTACCAACAAGCCGTTCTTTCATGTATATTGAACTCCTTTTTGAACAGATAGTTTCATTGACATTTAAAAATGTCCATGTCTCTCCCACATCCCTCCTCATCTCTTGTCCTAACTTTCTCCTCGGTTACAGCCAAACTTCTTGAAAGAGTTGTTTATATTGATCTCTTCTTGTCTTCACACCCTGGGCTGCTTCATACCCACCTCCTCAACTCACATCCGTTTGAATTTTGCCTTCCTTACTCCACCTACACAAATTTCTCCAGAGTCAACAACCACTTCCATGTTGCAAAATCCACTGGACCTTTTAATCCTTATTTTCCTGACTTCCCGACAGCACTGTTGACCATCCTGTTGTTCTTTCAAACACTATCTTTTCTTAGGCTTCTGTTATACCACATTTTTCTGGATTTCCTTTACTTCTAAGCACCCTCTGCAAACATATCCTTTATCTAACTTTGTCTCTCTTCTCGCCTCACTATATACACTAAAACGAAACAAAAATCCCTTGCTATGTAGCCCATTCCAACTCATAGTGACCCCAGAGGACAAAGTAGAATTGCCCCACAGGGTTTCCAACATGGTGAATCTTTGTAGAAGCATAATGCCAGATCTTCCTCCCATGGAATACTAACCATTTAGTTAGTAGCTAGGTACTTAACCACTATGTATGCCCCCAGGGCTTCTTACTATATACACTGCTGCTGATGTTGTTAAGCGCCTTCGAGCTAGTTCCAACTCATAGCACTCCTGTTTAGGGTTTGAATGGCAGTTCTCGCCTCTGTTACAAACCTTGTTCTCAAACTGACCTTTCAGTCCAGTGCTTATCCTATAGCACCACACCAGGACAACTGTTATTGTTAAGTGATGTCAAGTTGGTTCCGACTCATAGCGACCCTGTATAGGGTTTCTGAGAAGCATCTGGTGAATTTGAACCGCTGACATTGTGGTCCGGTGCATTAAACCACAGTGCCACACCAGGACTTTACTGCTGATTTAAGACCACTGCTTCAATTGCCATCTCTATGCTAATGATTCTCAGCTTTTTTTCTTCTTTCCTTCAAATGAAAGGTCCTCTTATTGGTTCCCATTTTACATGGGAAGAAACTAAGGTTCACAGATGTTTAAAAAAAAACTTGCCTAAGATCACACAGCTAAGCAAATGGCAGAGTCAGGATTCCAACCCACGTTTCGAAAGCAAAAAAGCAGTTCCATGGAATTGATTCCAACTCATGAGACCTCATGTGTATCAGAGTAGAACTGGGTTGTATAGGGGCTTCAATGACTGATTGTTCAGAGTAGATTGCCTGTCCTTTCTTCGATAGAACCTCTGGGGAGACTCAAACCTCTAACCTGCCAAGCTTGTAACTCCAACCCAAGACCCACTGTTAATGAGTTAATTCTAATTCATAGCAACCCTACACAAGGTTTTTGAGACTATAAATCTTTAGGAGAAATCTTTTTTTGAGACTATAAATCTTTCTCTCACTGAGCAGTTGGTGGGTTTGAACTGCATACTTTGAAGTTAGCAGCCCAACACCTAACCACAGTGCCACCAGGGTTCCTTTGTAACTCCAAAGCCTCCTCTTAATCTAGATGTGCTATTGACCACTGGCAAGCTCCTAGTGCTTACTCCTGAGAATCGTTCACATCCTGGAAGGTCACCATGAGAAAGCAAGGAGAATTTTTTAAATTGCACCTACTTCTCATTTGGAGTATTGGTGTGGTGCTGTAGGATCAGCACTGGACTGCTAACCACAAAGTTGGTGGTTCAAACTCACCAGCTGCTCCTCGGAAACCCTATATAGGGTCGCTATAAGTTGGAACCAACACAAAGGCATGTAACAATTCCTTACTTATTGATTATCTCATTATCTGACAATTCACATTTCTGACAATGGTAAAAGATGTACTATTTTCTGCATTAATGGCTATGTTTAGCAGTGATGTCTGCCAAGGTGTGAGGCGAGAGGAATGCTGGCTGTGATGGCTCTATTATAGCCCTATTGTGTGGTACTGCCAGTCGATTTAAAAGCAAGAGCAATATATTCATTTTCTCTGTATCCCAAGTTCCTTCTCTATGCCAGACACCTGACACACAGGAGTTGTTCCAATGTGTTTTTTGGCCCTGGTCATGTCATGGAGCTATGTGGTGGTAAACTTCTCATTTTCCAGGCAGGAGATCTAAGTTTGGCCCCTAGGCAATGCACCTATGTGCAGCCACCCATCTGTTGTGGAGGGGGGCATGTTGCTATGGTGCTGAACAAGTGTCAGTGCAGCTTCCTGACTAAGATGGCCTAGGAAAAAAGGCCTGTAGATCTACTTCTGAAAAATCAGCCAGTGGAAATCCTATAGGTCCCAATAGTCTGATTCCATTGTTCATGCTGTCATCAGGAGTTGAAGGTCAATTTAAAGGCAGCTAACAACAACAACAATGCTACAAGGAGGAAAGTTGAATGTGTCATCTTGCCTTTTGCTGTTGGTGTTAAGTGCTGTTGAGTCATCCTGACTCTTGGTGACCCTGTAATAGGATTTCTAAGGAGTGACTGGTGAATTTGAACTGCTGATCTCATGGTTCATACCAACCTTACAGTCCATTGTTTTATTCCACCATTTCCCCAATGCAATAGGAAGGGTTAGACCACAAGATCCAGTATCAACCATTCCAGAAAAAGATGTCAAGATCTAATTGACCTCTTCTGCCTCTTCTGCACACCTTGCAAGGCCACTGGCTGGCTTTGGCATCAAGCCACTTCTACCCTCTTCTTCTTCCTCCTGTTTTAGTCTCACCTTGCAAATAAGTCAACCAAAGGGGCTGGTTGTGGTGCTCTGAGGCAATGGACAGGGTGTTGAGGGCAACGATTAGGATCACCAGCCAGTAGAAGACCCTGGACTTCACCACATCATGGCACTTCCAGCGAAAGATGCGGTTCCAATGCCTCCAGTGTCGGCTGCAGGGAGGAGAGAGAGTGGGAGATAGAGTCCAGCAGACCCACTGTCCCACTGCTACTTTCAGACAAACCCAGTTGTACTTTGCCTGACCAGTCATTCTCCCCTCAGCCACAGCAGGTGAGCCAAACAGTTTTCAAATCTTGCCTCTAACTAGCAAAGCCCCTCATCTTTCAAAGTTTGACATCCATCTCAGAGAGAATTAAATGAGGCCATGCAAGCAGAATGCTTAGCATAGCACTTGTCATAGCTTAAGCGCTCCATGTATTTTAATACTTTAATGAAAATAACACTGTAAGACTACATTTTGCCCATTAGAAAGGCAATTCTTTAATAAATTTAAATCTGGAATTAGAGAGGGTAGGAAGAAGGACTTGTTTACAGTTTGGACAACCCTTTTGGAGAGCAGTTTGGTAGTGCTTACCAAAGTTTAAATTCTATATACCCTTTGACCCAGCCATTCCATTTGTAGAATCTCTCTGGCAAAAATGTTCATACTTATGCACAACCATTTACATACAAGAATGTGAATACACTGTGTGTATTACCAAAAATGGAAACGATCCTTTAAATAAATTATGGCATATTCATACTCTAAAATGGTTTACAGCCAGTGAAAATAACACACACACACACACACACACACGAAGGCTTTAAAAGGTTTGTGGGAAAATTTAATTATCTTTTAATTGTATTTTTTCCATAAACTTTTTGAAGACCCCTCATATATATAAAAAGTTGTCCTCAATAGATATGTTTAAGTGAGAAATGAAAATCACTAAATAATATATTGTTGTTGTTAATCACTGTTGAGTCAGTTCCAACTCATAGTAGCTCTGCACTGGGTTTCCAAGGAGCAGCTGATGGGTTTGAACTGATGACCTTGTGGTTTGCAGTCCAGTGCTTATCCTACAGTGCCATACCAGGAGCCCTAAATAATATATATATCGTATTTATTTATTGAACACATATGTATTTGGTAGCACCTCCTATATGTTGAGCACTGTTTCAGGTTCTGCTACAGTGACATAAATTTAGCATAAGTAATCCCATAATGTAAAAAAAAAAAAAAATCTAGTGTGTGCATGTGTGAGAGAGAGACTGAGAGAAAGAGACAGAAATATGGAAATGGTCTTAGAGGGATCCAAATCTAACAATTACCATGGTTACCTCTTTGAAGGGCAGTGGAAACCTCCACATTTTCTTCTATGTATTTGCTGATTCTTTAAAATCACAATGATGCATGAATATGTAAAAGGAAACAGCCAGACAACCACAGAAATCTTCCTTTTCAGACAAAGTCAAGGGAGCTCGCCCCGTCTCCTGATGTGTGAGCATGGCCAGGCTCTTCTGAAAAGCTCACTGTACTTTGCAACGTGCCCCTTCCCCTGTCCTCTTGAAGCTTCCCAGGACTAATTCCCTCACATCACCCCCACCCTGTGCCAACACTGACAAGGAGCAGCCAAATGTGCTCTTTGTCCCCACCCCCACGTTCCTTCCTTACTTGCAGGAAAAATATAAATAGGTCATCAGCTCTGCCCTCTCTGATCACATGTCCCTTGAGGATCTGGTCACCTCAGAGTCCCTGAGCAAGAACTGGCCCTGTTTTATCAGAAAGGCCATCTTTCCAAGGGATGTCCTTTCTGTAAAGGCATCTAGAGGAATGGGGATGGATTGTAACTCCACTGTCTGAGGGAACCTGGGCTGGAAGAACCCTGAGCAGTAAAAATACTCACACAAACTGGATGATTTTGTTCAAACCCTCGATTTCATACAGGCTCTCTGTGTCAGAACCACCTTCATCCAAAGAGAGCTTCCCTGAGGGACAGAAGAGAGAGTTGGCCAGGCTTCTGGGCACACTTAGGCTGGGCAAATGGAGAGAGATGCTGGTGAGTCTCTCTGTGTTCTCCTGAGACTCAGAGGCCTGAGAGCCAAGAACCCACCTCTGCAGGGAGGGTGTTTATAGATGGTGGCATGGTACTGTGGGAAGAACCCTGGGATTAGTGTCAGGGCAACTGGATTCTCTTTTGAGGTGTAAGGTTTTTGATAAGTCGCTTACCCTCCTAGGTTCTTAGTTTTCTAATCTGAAAAATGGCAATATTAGACCTTCTCAAAGGCCCTCCCAGGATTGCTGGTGGGTTGAATGAGGTATTGAGTCTCTAAGGGAGGAGCTACGCTGTGGGAGGAGAGGCCGACCTTGGTCTTTGGACCCAAACCTTCTCTCAAGTCCTCCACGTCCATGACCTCGCCCTGTGTAATCCAGCTCATGTAGCCTCGAAGGTCCTCCTCCAGCTGTTGTTTCTCCCGAAGCTTCTGGAAGGTTCCTCTGGACTTGGCCTTCTCCCGCTCCTTGGTGAATTCCCTGAAATGGAAGGGAGAGGGATGGGGTAGGAAAGCGGAGGAGAAGAGAAGGTAGAAGGGAAGGCAGGGCAGCACTGAGCCTCTCTTAAGAACAAAGGAAGCGTACACTGTAGCACTGGATGTGCCCCCTCTTCTAGCTCTAGGGACTCACCTGGGGTCTGAGTGCCCCTCTCGCTCCTTTCTCACTCCCCCTCCCCCTCCAGGAATACCTTGTAAGTCTCAGACCCTCTCATTTCTTTCTTCTTGTACCATCTGATTTCTCCAAGTCTTGGGCAGTATGTGTAAGATAGGACTGATGACTGCCATATTTGAATCAGTCATGGATCTTCAGACCTTCCTTACTTCCCTAACCCTTAATGCTACCCCAGATTTTCATTGTGCTTTGAGCCCACCCTAAGGCAGCTTGAAAGAAAGGCTTGGTGATCTGCTTCCAAAAAAACCCTATGGAGCCCCGTTCTACTCTGACACACATGGGTTAGCATCAGTCCCTTGGAGGGCAACTGCTTATAGACTTCAGGCCAAGGAGAAGTTTTCCTGGGCCTAGAAAAGACCAGGTGGCAGCACCTAAAGGAGAGAACTAGATTCCTACCCTGAGGGTCAGTGAGGGCTCTTCAGACCAGCAGAGGGCAGCCCTGGCCACCAGGCAGTGCTGAGGCTATGGGCCTCTGAGGCCAGGAGGGATCTGCTCTCAGGGCTTGTCCCACCTCCTCTCAGCACCACAGCACCACCAGGAGCCTGTTCCCACACAGGTAGGGTGCAGGCAGGGGCACCTGATCATACTGTGCCATGAATACTTGGGTAACGCAGGAAAACAGATGGATCTCTTCTCAGAATAATGTTTCTAATTGTGCATAATAAAATTGTAGCATTACAAAGGAAACCAAGTATATTAAAATACAGTTATTGAGATATATGTGTTCTTTAGTAAAGCATTAACTTACAAGATCTAGGCATGGGTCTAATAGCTATCATGATTTCAAACTAGTAATGAGTGTAAATAATATTTGTGACAATACTAATGTGTATTGTAGTTTCTACTGAGACAAGTCAAAGGCACTGCTAGTACTACTGTGCTTTGTTGCCTGTGTTTGTAATGAAAAGAAACACTAATTTTCAGTTAGAGTTTAATGAAAACTAAAGATAATTTTTTTTCCTATTCAAGTTCATGGGTGTCCTGAATTCTATACACAGACTGTCTGAAGGGAAGTTTCTGAGATAGGGCAGTGGCTGTACAGAAGGAGCTGATGGAACTTCTAGACTCTTCACTGTGGTTGACACAGAGGGACTACAGCAGAACTGTCCCGGTGCCAATAATTGCTAATATTTAGGAGTTTATTATATGCTAGGCTCTATCTTAAGTATTTTACATTATTAGCTCACTTAATCATCACAATGGTTCTATGAAACCAGCACTGAAATTATTCCTATTGTCAAATGAGGGGACTTAGGTACAGAGAGGTTACGTCCATAGACAAAGATCACATGGCTAGCAAGCAGTGTTGTTTTTGTGGAGTCCTGGTGTGGCACTGTGGGCTAATGCATCAGACTGCAAAGTCAATTGAATTGCAAGGTTGGTGGTTCAAGTTCACCAGCTGCTCCTTGGAAACCCTATACAGGGTCTCTATGGGTTGGAATCAACTTGATGGTACTTAACAACAACAACAAGTGACTTTGAATCAGTTCTGACTCATATAGGAGGAGCAGCTGGTGGATGTGAACTGCTGACTTTGTGGTCTGCAGTCTAGTGTTTATCCTACCGTGCCACAGCAGGAGGGCTTTAGACTTATTTACATCCATGGGCAGAACGATGGGGTCTTGTGGAAGGGATTTCACTCAGAAAGAGTGAAAATGCAGAGAGTGGGAGAAGGCTTGAGGAGGAGAAGAGAGAAAATTTTTGAATGGGTGGAGTGGGTGAGGGGTTCCTGCCTGTAGTTTCTATCTCTTCCCTACTAACCAAGAAGAGGACTCTGGCTGAGTTAGGGCTAAATGAGATGAGTCCAAGTTCTAGCCCGTATCTCCCTGCTCTCCTTGTTCCTTCTTGTTTTTCTTCTTTCCCTCCTCCTTCTTCTCTCCCATTGTCTTCACCCTTGCCTCCTCCCCCTTTTTCTCCTCTCTATCTTCCCCACCTCCTCCCAGCTGTCTTTGAACTTTCTTACCCACTCAGGATACCCAGCACCAGGTTGAGGATGAAGAAGGATCCCAGCAGAATGAGGGTGAGGAAGTAGATCCAGGGCCACTCATTCCCAATGGCATCATTGACCTGAAGGGACAGAGGTGTGAGTTCTGCTCTCTGCCCACTTAACTCTGCAGGAACTTGGGGAACAAGGAGAGATGCTATCTGGGCCCAATAAGGGGGGTTTTCTAGCCTAAGGGCCTCCTCAGGGTGCCTTGCTATCTACCTGGACCTGACAAGACTGATCCTCTAACCAAGGGCATCCTGACTTGGCTCCCTCATGGTCACCATCTCATTTTACCATCAAGATTTTTCAGAATAGATGAAATACTAAGAATGTCTTGGCCTGAGGTTCCATCTTCTTCTTGAGCAACTTCTGTGACCCTAGTCAAGTCACCTAATGTTTCTTAGCATTATCCCCACCTGTGGAAACCCACTGTCTGCCCCACAGGAGAAAGCGGCAGCATTCTGCTTACATAACATTCACAACTTGGAAACCCTGTGCGGCAGTTTTATTGTCCCCTATAGGGCTGCTGGAGTCCTGGTGTGGCACTGTGGGCTAATGCGTCAAACTGCAAAGTCATTTGAACTGCAAAGTCTGTGGTTCAAGCTCACAAGCTGCTCCTTGGAAACCCTATACAGGGTCGCTATGGGTTGGGATTGACTCAACAACACATAGGGTTGCTGGACTTCTGGTGTGGTGCTGCCAGTTGGTTAATGCAGCAAACTGCAATGTTGGTTTGGGCCATTAAGGCTGGCAGTTCCAACTCACCAGCTGCTCCTTGGAAACCCTGTACAGGGTCTCTATGAGTCGGATCTGACTCAATGTCACTTAGCAACAACAACATAGGGTTGCTAGGAGTTAGAATCTACTTGATGGCAGTGGGTTGGTTGGGTTTGGTTTATCCCCATCTATCTAATGGGGAAAATATGTACTCTCTTCTCACAGGTTTGTAATGAGGTAGAGTAATACATCTTGCAGTCTTGAAATATTTGATAATTTGCTCCCTTAATATGCACTTATAAGAAATAATCATGTTAAAGGATTGGAGTCAGATGGATCTGTTCATTCAATTAATTGACTAAGTCCAAACCTTAGGCAAGTTATTTAACCTCCTTGAATCTCAGTTTCCTTATCTGGAAATGGGGAAAATGCCTTCCATTGTACCCACCTCTACCCACTGCCATTGAGTCTATATAGGGTTTCTGAGACTGTAAATCTTTATGGGAGCAGACTGTTTCATCTGAGGAGTGGCTGGTGGATTTGAGCCACTGATTTAGCAGTCCGATGCTTAGCTCAGAGTACCACCAGGGCTCCTTCTTCCATTGTTTGTTGTTGTTAAGTATCATGCAGTTGGTTCCAACTAATAGTGAGTTTCCCTGCACAGGGTTTCCAAGGCTGTAAATCTTTACGGGAGCAGAAAGCCTCATCTTTCTCCCGTGAAACAGCTGGTAGTTTTGAACTACTGACCTTGAGGTTTGCAGCCCGATTCGTAACCACTATGCTACCAGAGTTCCTCTTCTATTGTAGGAGGATTAAATAAGAAAGGCAAGCTGATAGTTAATAAAAACCAAATAGAGAATATATTTCAACAAGAAATCTCTTATTGATTATGTGCTAGGCAGACATCCCTGGGTGGTACAAATGGCTAATGCACTCAGCTGTAAACTAAAAGTTTGGAGGATCAAGTCCACTAGAGGCACTTTGGAATAAAGGTCTGGGGATCTACGTCTGAAAAAGCAGCTCCTGAAAACCCTATGGAGCCCAGCACTACTCTGCCACACGTAGCGCCGCCATGAGGTGGAGTTAACTGGTATGTGTTAGACCTACTCAGTCATCTCATTAACCTCCTGATATCGGTAGTAGTTTTATACTTATTTTACAGATGAAAAACTGATCGCTGGTAATATTTATGTATAATTTTTTTCCCAAGAGACAGTGAGAGAGACTGAAAGGCCTTTCATCACTAAAGCAGTCTGAGATCCTAGGCAAGTAGGAAGGGGCCACTCACATCCAGGCTAGGGGAAAAGTTAGGAGTTGAGATCAGGATACAGGGAGCTTTGAATTTCAATTCCTTACCCCTCTTGGCCCTGTACAGGCAGAAAGCACCATAGAGACTGTCCCAAAGGATGCTGGGATAACTGCCTAGGGGCCAGGGTATCCAGGCTCCCCCAAAGGTTTTCCCCAGGAGAGGGGAGAAGGAACTGTGACAAGCCCTCCCCTGTGCTGAGGGGAGATCTTCCCTCAGGCAAGAGCTCCTACCCACCCAGTAAAGCACGTCGGTCCACCCCTCCATAGTGATGCACTGGTATACGGTGAGCATGGAGAAGCCAAAGTTGTCGAAGTGAGTGATGCCGTAGTTGGGTCCCGGCCAGCCGCTCCGGCACTCACTGCCGTTGATAGTGCAGCGGCGCCCCTGGCCTGACCTGGCACAGGGCGAGGGCTTCTCATTCTCCACCGTGGCCATGATATCTGCAGGTAGAGGGGCATACACGTCAAACACTAGTGACGGGTAGCCGGTAGGGAGTAAAAGGTGTTTCAAATAATTGAGTATTAGGTCTAAAGATACGCTGCTAAAATTGGAAAGGACTGCTTCATTTGTGAGGAGAGATGAAGAAAAATGTTAGGAGTCAGCAGTAATTACATCTTAGCCCAGGGACCTCACGGGAGGGTCTGCTTCTGGGGTTCACTGTCTGCTTCTGGGGTTCACGTGCCACCTACGAAGCAGGTGTTATGTGAGTGTCATGTGTACACTCAAAGCTTTCAAAAAAGAGACAGCTGCCTGGCCAGGCCAGGGCTGGGGGAAATGTCTACATGTCAGGACTTGAGCGTTCTGTCTAGGATGCTGAAATATCCTCAAACAGTTCTGGGACAAGCTGTATAGGACATACAGCTTCAGGGACAGTGGCCTGCTCTCAACAGAGGGAGCTTCCCAACAGGCCTTGGCCTGCTGTGTTCCTCTTTGTTCCCCTGCGTGGTGCTTTCATTGTCTCTGAAATCCTGCAATTTGATGACATCCTGGATCCCTTTTATCTTAGGATGTTTCACAGTCTCCTTTTGTGTTTGGAGATTAGGCTAGTCCTCAGAACTGGAATGTTCTCCCTGAATCATATTTCCCATGCAGAGTTTATCCTCTGAAGATGCACCTGAGAGAACATTGTTGAGATCCTCAGGAGGGTCCCTAACACCATGAAGTCAAGTTGCCCAGATTCAAGAAGGCCTCTGGTCAGCACTCATCCAAAGCTCCTGAGAACACCAGGGGAGACCTCTAAACTTGGCCTGAAGGGAGAAAGCCCCTTCCTATCTGTCCTGATCATGTTTATTATAGGATGGAAGGGGTTTGGGTGACAGGAAGAGATGGAAATGGGAGGGGATTAGGAAACCACTGAAAGTTTTATTAGAGTGGACTCTTCAGTTGAGTTTGAGACGTGTTTACTCGTCCCTTTGTTGTCAGTGGCATGTTGAAGTGAGGGGAGTCTTTTGAGTCCCTGCATGTCAAGGTGGTCTCTGTCCTTTCCTGGTGTTACTTTGGTGAAGCACTAGCTGGGGAGAGAACTTGTCTTATCAGGTCAGCTCTTTCTTGTGCCATGTTCAATTCTTTGTTTAGACCCCAGTGTAAGTCAGGTTTGGGATAAATACGAGGCAAAGTGTGGGGACTTTTTTAGGATACCCATCTGGTCAAAGTTTTTTATAAGAATGTTGTTGTGAAGTGCTATTGCACTGATTCCAACCCCATATGACAGAATACAATTGTTTCATAAGATTTCCAGGGCTGTAATTTTTACGGGTGCAGATCACTAGGTTTTTCTTCCACAGAGCTGCTGGCTGGGTTCGAACCACCAACTTTTCGTTCAGCAGACAATCGTTTGACAGTATGTGCTACTAGGGCTCATTATGCTATCATGTCATTTGTCTTTTTTGTCTTTCAATCCTTCAACATTACGCACTGGAATGTTCTAGAAGCTACATGACATGTGAAATCGAAACAGCATGAGTTCAGAAGCAGATGTGAGAATTCAGCAGATATTAGAGATTTACAAAGAAAAAAGTTCTCACCAATTTTTGGGGTGTGTGTGGAAAATATGGTTATTTTTCATAAAACTATTTCATACATGATGGGTTTGTTATTGTTCTTTCAAAATGCATTAAGAAATAAATATATTTTTCTCAGTTTTCATTTCTAATACAGTTCATACTAGTAGAGAAAACCCTTATAAACAGAAGTTCTTTGGAGTCCTTAGTAATTTGTAAGAGTGACAAGGATCCTGAGACTAAAAATTTTGAGAACTTCTTGTTTAGAATGTTTGGCTCCAATGCGCTGGGGCTTCAATGTAGGCTGTCTCAGACACCATACAAATGACCTTCATGCTTGGTTATTTCTGTGAGGTCCCATTCAGATGCTTTTTTGTGGGTTCTTGCTTTGGGAATTGTTCAGACTAAAACTAAAACTATGGTTACAAGGGAAAATGCAAACAGAATTCAGGTTTATCCTGAACCCTCAGCTAAATTCACAACAAACCTAGAAAGCCCACAAGATACCACATTGTGAGGGCAGGGGAAGCTTCAGAGCAAACTATGACTCAGATCCCTGCCCACTTCCCTGGACCACTACCACCTCTTACAGCTTCTCCTTATCCATGGGGAAGCCCATTCCCAAGATTAACAGCTGTGGAAAATCATGACCTAGTCCTGGTGCTTCTTCACTGGTTCCAGGAGTTGTCCTGGGGCCTCTCCCACCTTCCCAGGCCCAGGAGAGCTCACCTGTTCCAATGAAATAGCAGGTCTTGTGCATCTTGCCCTTGAAGAGCTCCAGGCCGATGATGGCATAGATGATGAGCATAAAGAGGACAAGTAGGGCGATGTGGAACAGGGGGATCATGGCCTGGAAGATGGAGTTGAGGACCACCTGCAGGCCTGCAATGGGGGGACAGGGGACAGAAAAGAAGGGTCATCTTCCCTCTTGGTATCTTGGCCCGCCCTCTATATTTATTCTAGGAAACCTCTGGGACACCAAGGGGATAGGGTGGGAAAGGAGGAAGGGGTCTGCGGAGGGCACTGCCACCCACTGGGCACCCCTGACACCAGTCGGAGGGGTCTAAGCACGCGGAAGGCCCTCAGGGCCTTGACATCCAAGCCAGCTCCTTTGCTGCCCAGTGGGGTTGAGTTGCTTTGAATGACGTTAATCTGCTCCAGAATCACAGTGAAGACCCTAGAGTGAAGGAAAGAAGGGGCCAGCTAAGCTACAACCTAGTGGCTGGGACCCTGGGCATTGTGCCCTACTTTCCACAGGAGGCCTGTGGAATGGCCTAGGGGCTGAAACCCAGGAACTATTGTGAGGATGGTGCAGTACTGGGCAGTGTTTCCTTCTGAGATAAATGGGGTCGCTGTGAATCAGAACTGAATCAACAGCCCCTAACTCTGAAGTGAGGGTATGTGTGTTAGGTCTTTGGTGTCTCATAGTGGATTGAGAGATGATGGCGATTGAACTCGTGGCCTCAGCATCTCCACTTCTACCTTTGGAGTCCTGGTGTGGCTCTGTAGGATAAGCACTGGACTGCCAATCACAAGGTTGACAGTTCAAACCCACCAGTCACTCCATGGAAACCCTATAGAGGGTGACTTTGAGTTGGAACTGACTACAGGATTTAACAACAGTAGACTAAAGGTTGTTAAGTTCCTCACAGGAGAAAACCTGAAGAGAGCTCTCCCTGTGGGGTTTTCCTCACACTGTGCATCCTGATAAAATGTCCTTCTATCGATTTTTCTGCTCACCTCTTCCTTCTCTCGCTACATACTCGAATTTCCATTATTTTTTGAAGTCCACCTGGAATCTCCCTAAATTATGACCTTCTTCTGACTACAACCTTCTGGGATACATTGTCATGTGAAATAAGTTACACTGTGTATTGTTTTCTAGCATCTTATTACTCTGTCCTGGTGTGATGCTGCAGGATAATGCGCTGAACCGCAAGGTCAGTTTGAGCCCAAGGTCTGTGGTTCAAACCCTTCAGCCACTCCTCAGAAACCCTGTGCAGGGTCGCTATGAGTCGGAACCGACTCGATGGCACTTAACAACAACAACCTACCTTACTCTGCTTTAGCTTACAATGAAAGCAGTTCAGTAAGGGCAGTGGTGGATTCACAGACTCCTTCTAGTTTCCCTATTGTGGCTAAAGCAGCACTAGGTCTAGGTAATGAGTAGATGTTTAACATAGTATGTATTGAATTGAATGATAACAATAGAGGTCAAGCCCAACTGTGTTGGGTTGAATACTAGCATTGGTATGTGACTTGAATAAGTTGCTTCAATTCTCTGTGTTTTAGTTTCCTTATCCAGCAAATGGAGACATTAAGAGAATTGTTGTGAGGATTAAATGAGATACAAGATGTATGAAGACTTTCAATAAATTCATGGGAAAATGGAATGAAAAGATAATGACGTTTTTGCGAACTTTTTGACGCTCCCTTGTAAAGCAATAAATGTAAAGTTAACTTTGCTTAATAAATGTTGCTGCTATAATGAGGTGGAAGTCGCTAGGGGAAAGGAACTAAATGTCTTTTTTTATGAACTCAAATAACGGATACTCAACTCAGGTCTGCTAGGTCAGCGGTTCAAATCCACCAGTCGCTCTGAGGGAAAAAATCAGGCTGTGTGCTTCTTTAAAGATTTACAGTCTAGAAGCCCTATGGAGCAGTTCTACTCTGTCCTGTGGGGTCAGTGTGAGCTGGGATTGATCTGTTGGCAGTGGGTTTGTGGATTAATTCAGTTCTGTGGTATAAATGAACCTGACTAAGGGTCAGAAACATGAAAATCTGTCAATTATTTCCAGTTTTGAAATGCAATGTGAAGAAAATAAAGGAACTTAAAGTGTCCAGAGGGAAAAAGACTGGTGGTCTGCCAGGGCAGGGCAACGCTCCACTCTTTCACTCACCCCACATCGGCGGCACCCTGAAGGTGCCAATTTCTGTGCTCCATGGCAATGGGTAGCACTCTATTATGGTCTCATCCTGCCTTGGGGACGGCTACCATGGATGGGCACAGGGATCTCAGGAAGTTCCAGTGACCTCAAAAGCCCCCAGGCCTGGGTCTCACCCCAGGAAGACGATGATGAAGTCTAGCACATTCCAGCCGCTTCTCAGATAGGCGTCCTGGTGGAATAGGAAGCCATAGGCGATGATCTTCATGGCAGCTTCAATGGAGAACACGATGAGGAAGAAATACTCGAGCTTCTCCTGTGAGAGGGAAGAGGTCACATCACTCCTCAGAACAAGACCTCTAGCACCTCACTGTCCACCCTGCAGAGCCAGGGGCTCCACATGACCGTCAAAGTCCCACCCCACTCCACTTACCTCTCAGACCTCATCTCCTTGGTTCTCCTCAGCTCTTACCTCTCCCACCACCTAGGTTTCCTAGATGTTCTTCAGGCAAGACTGAGGACATCTGTACCTGCTGCTCCTCAACTGGCCCCACTCCACCACCAAGACCCCACCTTCCAGCACACAGCCCTAAGGCTCTCTCACTTTCTGCAAATCTTAACTCCAAAGTCATCATTTCACTGAGGTCTCCCTCCGACGTGTCCTGTTTCTTTTTCCTGATTTATTTCTTAGCATGGCGTGGCTCTGTAGAATAAGCACTTGACTGTTAATCACAAGGTTGGCAGTTCAAACCTACCAGACACTCTTGCAAAACCCTATATAGGGTTGCTATGAATCAGAACTGAACAAAAACAAGCATGCATCTCTACTTAAAATACTGCCTATTTTCTTATTTATCATTTTCACTGTCTGTCTTGTCTGTCTCCTCCATCAGACTATAAACGCCATGATATGTGACAGTTTTTTTTTTTCTTTTTCTTTCATTACTTCCAGTGCCTGGAATCAGAGGTGGTTTCCAGTTTGAGCATCTTTCTTCTCGCACCTTCCTCTGGACTGAGAGTAGGAGGTAAGGCTGGGCTTATTTTTCTGTAACCTCCTCTGACATATTATTGGCCCCAACACTAGCAGCTTGCAGGTAGACACTTAAAGGGGACAAACCCTATATAGGTTAAAGTGACTCCTGGTGTGGCACTATAGGATCAGCACTGGACTGTCAACTACAAGATCAGCGGTTCAAACCCACCAGCTGCTCCTTGGAAATCCTATACTGGGTCTCTATGAGTCAGAACCAGCTTGATGGCACTTCACAACAACAACAACAACAACAACACAGGTTGAAGGGAAGGTGGGGTACACTGTGTAGGGAGGAGGCCCTGCAAGTAAGAGGCCAAGGGTTCCAGCTCATGACCACCCTACAGAAGGCCCAGCTGACTTACCAGGCCCAGCTTTCCCTGAAGGCGGGCCCACTCAGTTATACTATCCATGGTTGCCCTTGCTGTCTTCAGGGCCCAGGTAAGAGCTGTTTGTAGCTAAGAAAGTAAGTCCCTATGTTGAGACCCAATGCAGCCTCCCCAACCCAGCTAGGTTCAAAGTCCCCACCCTCCATCTTCCCAAACAAGCTCCTCTCTTCCACCTTGGAATAAGGTGCAGATCCAGTCTGCAGCACTGCACAATTCCAGGAGACAGCAGGCACCAGCACTAGACTGGCAGCCTCTGGAGCTGAATGACAAGAGCATCTCAGTCTCCAGGGCTGCTCCTCCCCAGGGAGGAGCCAGGCCCTCTCCCCATCAGCACACTGGAGACATCTGCTTCATCAGTTCCTCTACTCTGGGTGGAGCTGGCCACCCCATGCATGATTTGGAAAGAGTATCTTTTTACTTGGTGACAGTGAGTAGTTGTGAGAGGCAAGGGAAGGGGCTTCCAAACAGTGCACTCATATGGGTGTGACCCCAGAAATCTCCAAACTTCATATTCAGAGAATTTTCCTGAAAGTGTAATTTCTGGATCAAGTCAGAACACAGGACAATGTGGCATCAAGGGCTGGCAGAAAGAGGGGTATCAGGGAGAAGCCCTCATGGACCGTGTCTGTTTCCATTGCTGGAGGCATGGTGGGTTAATGCGCTGGACTGCAAAGTCAGTTTGAATCGGAAGGTTGGAAGTTCAAGCTCACCAGCTGCTCTTCAGAACCCTATACATGATCTCTATGAGTCAGAACCAATCCAATGGCACTTAACAACAACAACACTGACTTTCATCCACTGAGGAGCACAGTTGCACCCTTATTCTGCTGGAGCGGTGGTTCCCAGCCTCAGACCTGATTCTGCAAGGCTTCAGGTGATGATCCTGCACATGAGGTGTTGTTGTTGTTAAGTGCCGTTGAGTCAGTTCCAACTCATAGTGACCTTGTTGAGGGTTTCTGAGGAGCAGCTGGTGAATTTGAACCACCGATCTTGTTACTCAAACCGACCTTGTAGTCCAATGCTTATCCTACAGTGCCATACCACGACTCTTATCATGAGGTGTTGTTGTTGTTAAGTGCTGTTGAGTTGGTTCTGACTCACAGCGACCCTGTATAGGGTTTCCTAGGAGCGACTGGTGAACTTTAACCGCCGACCTTGGGGTTTAAACCGACTTTGCAGTCCAGCACACTAACCCGCAGCACAACATTTAAGCCCTAAGCCTGAGATGCTGCGAGGAGTGTCAGGAGCCAGCCACTGACTGCTGGCAGCAGGACCTTATTGTCACCCTACAGCCTCGTGCCTTAGACATGTCTGCCAGAATGAGGGGTATCACCTCTCCAGCAGGGTTCTTAGGTATCCTGCTGTCACTCAGGTGAATTTCTCCCAAATAATCAATAAAATAAGGAGCTTTGATGGTATAGTGGGTTATGTGTTGAGCTGCTAATTGCAAGGTCAGCAGTTCAAATCCACCAGTCATTCCTCCAGAGAAAGATGAGGCTTTCTGCTCCCATAAAGATTTATAGCCTCAGAAACCCTGTACAGGGTCGCTATGAGTTGGAATCAACTTGACGGCACACTGTAACAACAGAGATGGAAAGTGAGGCACATGTGGACTAGACCTGCTTTCCTTATCTCAGAGTTCATTCTTTTGACCAATTTGTAATCCCAAAGCTATCTCCTTCTTCTGGGAAATGGCAATATATGATGAACTTGTTAAGCCATGCAGTTCTAACAAAGGGACTGTTGATAGGGACCCTGCTTTCTACTAGGTAGGAAGTGCTGGTAGCAGCTGGCTCCATGACAGGAAACTGCTGAGGTGTGGGAACTGCCCTGCTTAGAGGAACAGGGTGAGGGCGACAATGGAGGGTCTTCCTGAGACCAAGTGGTTCCCACTTCTCTGCAGGGCAGGCTTCCCAAGAGGCAGGCACCATTAAGGAAAATGTGTAAGGGACAAGAATGAAGTCAACTCAGCATTTAAATCCTCAGGTTGCTGCAACTCCAGGGGAACAAATGGGAGGAATGGGGTGGTGGGGAGGGAATTCAGGGCCCAAAATAGCTGTGGTGCTCACAGGCCAGGACACTGGAGAGCTGCCTGCACCTGCCCCTGCTCGTCCTGCTGTGGCCTGACTGTGGGCCTTCGCATGGGGTCACTCAGGTACCACAGCAAGTTTGCTCTGAAGGCCCAGCTCTCCCACCATAGTCTCCTGAGCCCAATCATGGACTCCCCGGAATTCTAAAGTATTTCCATAGGAATCCTGTGCATATACACGGCATTGGAGAAGGAAGGGGGAAAGGGGAAGAGGAACATATCTATTCCTGTATCCTAGGAGCAATGTCATTAATATCACATTGGGTTGTCCTATGGCCCTTCCAGCTTGAGCTCAGGAACAAGGGATATTCATTCCATGGATATCTAATATGCATAGGACTGCATGTGCTGGGCCAGGCCTGCGGTCTCTCCAAGTTCAGCTATTGACCTTTACTAACAGTCTTACAAATCCACCTTCAGCAGGCAGGAGACAGCAGACAGATGCACTCATGGCTCTCACTGGCTCTTTTGCTTTACTAAAGCAACACAGGACTACTCATCTGTGAAGACCCTCCTGGCCCCCAGTAGGAAGAATGAGCTCTGGGTGTCCTCTCTGTTCCTTGTACCACTGTGCTGCCCTTTACTGCCTCTTACCAAGCTGCAGTCTCCTTGTGACCATGTCATGATCCCACTTATAGTCCTAGCTGTGTGGTTCTATGGATCTGTGTCCCAGTAGTGTGGCACTCCCCATCACTAACAGTATTTGGAAAAAGAAGACTGGAGCAGAACTGATGTGCTTGAATTGTGGTATTGATGAAGACTATTCACTAGACCATGAGTGGAGTTCCAGAAGCATGAACAAATCAGTCTTAGAAGAAATACAGACAGAGTGTTCCTTAGAAGAAAGAAGATTTTGGCTCACTTACTTTGGACGTGTCTCCAGGAAAGACTAATAACCAGAAAAGATCATCATGGGTGGTAAAGTGGAGGATCAGGGAACCCTCCACGAAATGGACCAGCACAGTAACCACAATAAACTTGAACATACCATTGATTATGAAGAAGGTACAGGGATGGCCAACGTCTAATCCTGTTCTACATAAGGGCACTGTGAGTTTTAGTTAATTTGATGGCAATTAGCAACAAAAGCATTTGGATAAAGGCTGCAAATACACCCTCCAAAGAAGGCTACAGAAGAAGCCCTCCACCCCAGTAGCCAGTGCTTCTGATACCTTTCCTACTCTCCTCTCCCATCAGAAAGTAATTTTGGCTCAGGCCTTTTGCTCTTGCTGCTCCCTCTGCCTAGAATGTTCTTCCTCCAGATATCACAAAGCTGACTGTCAGATCCTGTCTCCAAAGTCACCAAAACATGGAGGCCCTCCCGACTTCCTCCCACACCTGCATGGTCTCTCTCCTTACCCTGACTTATTGTTCATTTTAAGAAGTATCACCATCTGGCATGTATGTATTTGTTCTTTTTTTTAAAAAAAAAAACCCTGTCTCTCCTGACTAGAATATAAGGTTCACAAAATCAGGGACTGCCTTGTTCATTGCTATAGCACCTGCATCCAAAAACTGCATGCATATATGTGACTAAATGAATGAATTGGTACCCAGCGCTGCTCCCTGAACTATATACTACTCTGAGACAAGATAGTGCAGACACTGAGGGTAACATCCGGAAATCGGTATGGCAATTCGTGACCGCTTCCAAACATGTGGTGGGCTCCTCTCATGAAACACATGATGAGTCCCACAGCAAAAGCTGTGAAGTCATCCCACACAGGACTGCATATTGATCTACAGTAGACTGGAAACTAAAAAGCAACTAACTGACCTTGACCCACTCACATACCTGAGAAGCTCTG